GGTCTCCGTAAAAAGTGTGGAACGGCAGGACGTTTAGTTGATGACTTGAAGCAGATGTACGTGGTCAAGATATAAAATTGGCAGGGGATTTCTCAAACAATTGCGTGCAAGTTCGTGCATTAGGCAATGAGCCGAATCTTTTGTATAATAACTGATGATATTACTTAGTTGCCCAGATTTCGGTAGGTGCAGCAAAACGACTGGACTTATAAGTTTCGGAGGAAAAATTGTACTATTAAGCTTCTAAGAAGAGTAAGTATAACTGTGACACTACACTATTTTATCTTATGTCGTATAGAACATGGGATCTGGCATGGTTGTGTCCAGGTTGCCATACCTCATACAGATACAAGGCGAAGAACAGGGTTATGAAAGTGGCTTAGTCGAAAGCCGTAAAAAGTTAGAGGACTAAGATCAATGTAAAACCTGACACAGAAATGCATCGGCTCAAATGTCCACGCTTCGCAGCAGCATGCGAAGAGAAATCCGGCTAGAAACCACAATTGATGAAAGCTAGTTGAGTCTCTTGTATCCGACCGGAGATTTAGTCGGTCTCTGGCCTATCAGAATTGATCCGACTTTACACAAGTGAAATGGTCAACGCGTCCGATCACTTTGGTCACTATTGTCAGATGAATTATCAATGCGGAGCAGTCCTGAAGTAACTACTTGACTTTCTGAGGTAAAAAGTACCCACGAAACATCCTCAAATTTTCACTCTAAGTGTCGAGAAAACTGCATCTGTGACCACAGTAAATGTCTGCGTAGTGTAAATCTACTAACGAGTTAAATGCAACTAATGCCTGTTTTCTAAGATTGTGTCAATGCATCAGTGACCGGGTCAGAACCCTGCGTCGTTCCTTTGGGTCTGCTCTTCCTGAGTTTCACTCAGGTAACTTACGACTATAGAACCTAGGATCTTGGACCCCATGTTGGCCGGACTGATTCTCCTTTAGTTATTTGTTAAGACGCGGCCAAAAATGGAAATCATTCAAGGTCATTCGCTGTTAGGGTAGAAATATTTTCGTTTCAAATCTTGATTTATGTCCATGTGTGGTGAAGGTGAGGTAGAATTAGCAGGAAAAACTTTACTGCTGTTGTATCCTACATAGTCGGTAGTACAACCTTTCTTCGAACCCACACCATAGTGCAAGCCATTGGTACCAAGAAGGTACCTGCTTTTAGTCATACGGCTATCCAACAAACTTTTCTGAGGTGATAGGACCTTAAGGAACAAATGTCCTAGCTAACGTACGTCATTTGTTAATTGCGATAAGCACTAGTTTTTAACTTTTCGAAGACCCTAGCTAAGAAGCAATCACCTAATTGTCAGTTACTCCGCCTTAAATCCCATTAAGACACTTAGAAACTCCACTAAATATAAACAATGGCTGAAAAACACTGATTATTCAGATTTTCGAACTTTTTACAACATCTTTACAATCGGTTGCATTTTTATTGTACAATAATGTACAACATAATCAACACTGAAATAACAGTCGATAAACATATCCGTCTTCCTATGCCGTACCTTTTGCGTGCAACCATTTCGTATACGAGACAAATACCTAAAAGTCTAGCAGTATTGTGCCTTAGGCACACTGAGTAAAAGTTGACCGAAATTTATCATATCAGTTGATGTGACTAACTGATCGTAGTTGCTCCAACTGGATTCACGCAAAAGTGAAAAACTGGACTATATCTGATACTTCATTGAAAAATACTAACTAGGTTAACTGACCGAAAGCGTCAGATACTGCCCTTATGTAGTGGAATATAGCCAGTGGGCATAGCTGGTTAGTATACCTGTACCCGAAGTACTTGCTAGTACTAAAGATACTGTTAATACACCTGGGAGCTTTTGATGTCTTCAAATGAACCACCACCGTTTTCAAAAGGCTGCACGTTAACTGTACACACCATTTTAAAAACTAAATTAGTTGTCGAAGCGATTCATCTTCCTTAAGGTTAACGTGTTTTCTTCATTATTATTTTTCCAGTTGTTTATATCAATTCACTTGTATGTAACAATGCACATATATTGAACAACCAGAAAGAAGGGATTGCAACCGTATTTATGACCATTTTCTGAGGGATTTGTGAATAAGGTGTGAAAGTCTTCAGCAGTGTAATTACTCATCACCTAAATGATAGTGGACATGAAGTTTATATCCAGAAATCACTTGGAGCAATTAATAGACGAATGAACTGCAGCTTGCTGTGTTTGTTTGAAAAGGTAGGTACTAAGACTGAATTTATGTATTCAAAAAGAAACAGTTTGTCTATCCGTACGATGTCAATATTTTAATCCTGATAATTATATTATTACGTACGATTATCAGTCCATATACCTATGTTTGTTTCATTTCAGACTCTTGACTTCATTATCAGAATTCTGATTTTCTTGGTGTAAGTCCTTTGACTTCCGTTTATACATATTTTTACGTAACAAACTTTTAAGCATCAAACATATGTTTGTCTCTATTGTCCGAATTTCGTTCTTACCTCTAGACTATTTGTCGAATCTTTATGTATGTAGACAAGCTTATTATTAGTTCCTGTAACACAAACCACTCAATTCTTGTGACTTAAATTACGCAACAACGATGTTATTTTTCTTTAAGCCAATAATTTTTCGTCAGTGATTGGCGTGAGGGGATGGCTTTGGCATTAATATTTTAAAGTTTTAAACAACTAATGAGAAACTCCGAAATAAGGTAGGTTCATATCACTCATTTGAAAAAGATTTTTTCCACTCGATTTAAATTGACTACGAGAAGAAATTGAATGACATCAGCAGTGCTGAGAATCGAGGAAATGATAAATACAGAGAATAAGTGCTTCCAAGTTGTTTACGCCTGACAAGACGGAAATTTGCACAAAATAGCTGCAATTTGATTTGCAGTACTATGGTGCGAAAACCAACGAAAACAGGAGGATATCCAGATAAAAAGAGAAAGGATGAGAGCAAATTATGGATTGTGATGAGATATTCAAAGTTTCGACTATAAAAGATGAATATATTTGTGCAATTGTTATAAACTTTAGACTGTGACCAAAAATCTCTAACCATTCATCCATAATATTTTGACGAATTTATTCTAGAGATTGATGCTACTTGGACCACTTTTTGTTCAAAGTTCACAACCACATTTGATTAAAGGAATTATGATAGACGAATACAACCTCTTATTAATTTCTGATTCTGAAACGATGTTAAACTTCTATAACTTGCACTCAAAACACATTTAAACTCACAAAGAAAGTTAACGCTAAGTGTAATCAGTGATAAAACTAGCGAACGAATACCTCTTTACGATGGTAAATGGAGACTGTTTGAAGCCTTCAATTAAATAAGTAAGAAAGAATTCATTAATGAATTCATATCCATATCAGAAATTCTAACCATCCTCAAAAATACTACAGTTGTACAAACCATTCACTAAATACCTAAACTATTTACAAAGCCTCAGATCAATGAACTTGCCTGGTCAAAGGATTTCAAGAGTATCACTGGAATGTATTAGAAAAACGATAGTTTCTTGAAATGGTTGGTGCATAGACTTAGAGGTGACATGGCATCGATGTCTACCAACCCTTGGCAATTACACTACGTGTTGTGTAGGACTAGTCGCAACTACCAGTTTATTTGAAAACACAAAACGACTCTAGAAAAAGAAACAAGAGATAAACTGTGAAACGACCTTTGGAGTATATTCAATTAAACCTGTACACTAGAGATAAATATTCAATTGCAATCATTCATAACCTAAAGATATGAACTATTGTTGAGAACGCCATGAAAACAATAGGTCAAAGTAAACTTAATCTACTAGAATTCCGTCTTAAAAAGAAAACTATATTTTTCTAATGTTACGCGGAATGATAAAAACTAATTAAATTTGGGGGTTTGTGGGGATTCAGAGATATTCCAAGTTGGTATTCACCATGGACTGACATCATCTGCAGACACATTGCGAAGCTAGGAGCGCTGGAAAGCTGTTTCGTCCTAGTGTGCGGTTATTCAGCAGTGCGTAATCACGACCTACAGGTCTCGTTGCCAGCAAGTTACCATTGAGCCACTGTGTCGGAATCTAATGGTTCATATTTCCAACTTCTGTCAGCTTACTTGCGACAATATTACTTCCGAACATTTAACTTACTGACTTCAATTATCTAACCATACTGTTTGTTTATGTCATTATTATTAACAGTTACTCCGCTTAGTCTTTTATTTAGACTATTACACTAACTGGATATTATTATCTTCCCCTGGGTTCCTAGTGGAATATAGGACTTCAGTACCACGTCTCCATTCCACTCTATTCTCTGAAGTCTTCCCAACCTCGCTCCACGACTGCCCACAAGCTCTCATTTCTTCCTCACATGATCTCCTCCATGTCACCCTCGCCTCAGACGCCCAACTCGCCATTTACCATCTCGGTTCCACTCGAGTGTCTGGAACGTGATGTCCCCAAACGGTCTTCTCAGTGTATGCCCAATCCATCTCCACCTTCTTCTGCATATTTGTTGGGTGATAGGTTCTTGGTTGGCTCATTACCAGCCAGAGTTTCTTGTTGCTTATTCTTTCTGGCCATCTGGTCTTCAGTATCGAGTGTAGGCAGCTGTTGATGAATGTCTGTAGTTTGTTGGGAATGCTTTTCGTAACGCACCAAGTCTCTCAACCATCACATGGAAGCACTGACTTGACTGAATCAGTGTTGAAAATCCTGATCTTGCTCTCGATGCTGAGTGCAGTGCAATAGGTCTCCACACTGGTTTCAGGTTGATGAACGTCTGTCTTTCTGATCCTCATCTGTGCCACCGCCTGTAGTTAAAACGATGCTGCCTAGGCAGGTAGGTAGGTGAAAGAGACTACTTCCTTTAGGTTTCTCCCGTTAGTGGTGATTGGTGCTTGTTGTTGATGCTGTTGTTGGCTGGGCATCTTCATCACCTCTGTCTTTTCTACATTCACTTGAAGTCCCGTTTTGACTGCCTCTTCTGTCAACTTGTTAGTTTTCGCCGGTAGATCTTCGAGTTTGTGCGACACTAAACATGAATCATGTTTTAGCCTCTCTAGAATGATGCAGCATAATGTTTTGCTTGGGGTGGACAGCAGCATGATGCCTCGCCACTTCTTGCAAAGGCTCGGATCTCCCTTCTTTGGGAGTTTCACAATCGGAAGGTACCTTCTGAAAAACTGTGCCCAAAATGTCATTCATAAAATGTTGCATGATTGTATGCTATGTCAAACAAACAAATTTGATATGATGTTACACTCCAATATATTCTAGGTTCCACTCTTAAGCCATAATGAGACCTAATATAGAGGTCTATAACACAGGGTGGTAAGTACTAATACATCTGTCGTAAAAACGTTAATACCCTAAAATGGATCTAACAAACAAGTATCACAACAAGAAGACAAAATAGGTGAATAGCAGACAATAAATAATCGGTGTACAAAATGGTAAGGAAACGAACCACAGTATCGAATATATTGATCCACGAAATCTATACACACTTTGTACAAGATGAGTGCAATTGCTTGAGTGGATTACAAATGTAAGACTTTTATTGGCTCATAAGCATCTAAACTTAGATCAAAAAATGATAGGACCGCATAGTCAACATGACGTGTCTCATTTCTTGAAGTAGGCACAGAACAAAACATTTGTGCATTCCATTTAAGCAAGCGCTCCAAACACTCAACTTCAGTAAGCAATATTTTGATGTTAGATGCGCCACAAACCATTGCACACAGGTTGACAAGCCACTTTAGGCTTCTACTTGGATTACAACAGTGATGACAAAAACGCTTCTCCATTTCTGAATTTTCAAGATCTAAAAAGTTGTATACAAAAACAAAGACCGAAAAGACATTAAGAGAAAAAATACACAATGCTATTTTTCTAAATTCGGACAAAAACGAATAAAACTTCAAACTTATATCGATCGGTAACAACTGGTTCTCTACTAACCATAATACTACCCTTGACTATTTGTGAACTGAAAGTCACACCACAGTTACTTTGATCTTGTCACATCTTTGTATATAAGTGACTTATATTTCACTAATGTTCGCGAATCTGGGCATTGCAAAATCATATGTACAATCAGTCAGCCTCTAGTGTGGTTAAAGAAAACGCCATTCGATTTCAGTCAATATATTAGTTCATTGGCTAAGAAACTTAGCTTCCAAACGATGATTCCCTCATTGGAAAGCCGCTTCATCTGTTTTTACCTGAGTAACCGGCTAGTATAAAAAGCAATCATGCAACAATTGTGATTCATACCCGAGTACTTACACATGTAACGCGTTACACTGCATTGTAACATACATATAAAGAGTTAAATTATTTCGGTTATCCATTTTGGTATTCACTTACTGAAATGTCTTACCAATATTCACCCCACATTACACATTTACAACAAAAAACTTGTGCATAACCTGTAAATTCAGTTATGATTTTGAGGCGATGTTTTTAGCCAATGAATAAGTCAGATTATGAGAACAGAATTCGTTTGTGTGTGCCACAAAAGAGGCTTGGAAACATCTGGTAGTGTTTAAGAGTCAATAGGATACCGGTAAATATGTTATATCGTCTACAAAGTTTTAGAATCAGTTTCTTAAATGATCATATGAAACTTCATTTTGAAATACCAGTTAAACTTACTGTAACAAGTACAACTGGAAAAGGATGCCACCTTCATCACTTATAGTTGATATGTTTCAAATACTATTACCAGTGTTTCTGTCCTCAGGATTTAGTGTATTCCTTACATTACTTACATAAACCCTGCTGAATATTCGGTTCAATAATTTCGTAACAACACAGAAAGACAAAGTCAACTAGATATCACGACAAACAAAGACGTAAATAAGAAGTAATTCTGTATTTAAATGGTTCAATATTAGATCCTTTTATTCACAGAGGCAAAGACTAATCCTACATATTCAGTCGTTTTGAACTTGATAAAAGTTCAAACAGTATACAGTGGGGTTGCAGCTCAGTGGTTTAGGGAGTTGGTTTTCAGCCATTGGGTCACGCGTTCAAGCCGCGCTCCACCTGGCAAGTTTTGGGCAGCCACGTAGCATCACTTTTTCTCACACAATAGGTGTGACTCCTTGCCTACTGCACGGACGTGCAAGCAAGTGGCCGAGTACGTTTTATTTGTGTCTGCACTTAGATTTGTTACAAAACGGGAACCAAATAATGCGCCATATGATGCAATATAAAAACACTATAAAGCCGAAAATGAAACGAAATTTTTGTTGTGTTCCTTTTAGTTTTCCCAAATAAAAGACAAAACGGAAACACAAATTGATCATTGTTTTCACTTCTGATACATATGTGATACAGTCTGAAACCGCTGAATCAAATGATACATCGGACCCAACTTGCGATATCATGCATGAGGCACTAACAGATGCTAACCGAATACAACCACCACTTATCTCAAGGTAACAACATCAAACAATGGCACTCTTTTCTTAACCAGTTGGGCAGTTAACAAACAGCAAACGGTTTTGAAGCTGCTGCGACCACGCATGTAACACATGTCTAAGCGACTCGGTGAATGACGATCCCCACAATGCCTGAACACATGCCAGCCATACGATTTCTCTTCTGGGTATAAACCATCCTGCCGAGACAATATTGACTGACTATGCATCTTGAGGTCAGGAGGCTGTTTCAAATGCATAGAGTAAAACTGTCTGCACCAAAATTTTACATATGCATTCTTTCACAGTCAATTTAACATCACAACAGCATCAAAGTTGATCCAGAGTAGTGTTTTTTGCTGTGAATTTCGGTAAACGCATAAAGATTTCATGTAACACTTTCTTTAGCACAGTACAACTGCCCGGATAAACGAAATTCTTAGCCCTTTTGACTACTCAACGCCAAAGGTGACTACAAGTACAGATTCCTGCAATCTTGTAAAATACTGCGCACCTTGACTTTACGAACCACACCTACGGACATTGGTCACCAACTGACAAAGTGCGATCTGAACAGCTTGTATTTTGTCGCACAATACAATGACATCGTCCACACATTCAAAGTCGAGAAGTCCTCCACCTGGTAGGTCTAGACCACCCCACCATGAACCATCTTCCTATCGTGAAAACATCATTGATGGCAAATTTAAACAGGAATGGTGAAGTCGCACAGCCCTGCATAATCCTACTGTTTAAAAATATCTTAGGCCCAACCTCTCTAACAAATTATTCCAGAGCTAAACCTTGTCGAAAAAATTGAAGGTAGTCCTAATATTAAGAAAGAAAACGGTCACTGATCTGAAATATGTAGTGGCGTTCAGGGGTCTAATGAAAACTGAAAATGTGATCATTACATAAATCTTTCAGGCGTTTCCCAAAGCTTGTGAAGCATGACAATTGTCAATATTTTGGACCTAGCCAGTAGAAAACTGATATCTTCATGACCATTAAATACGTTATATAAAGCCTTTATACAGAAGGGAATGATGATAACTCCTGCTCAGAGTGATGGGATACTCCATCTGTGATACTACATGAAGTCCCTGACTACTATCATGTATCCATTCTCAAAAAGCAAGGGATAAGTTGTTTACGCCGGATGTCTTATGGTGCATTAGAACTAGTAGTTTCTTCTAGGCATTCGCTTCGTTAGGTGGCTCAGACTTAACCAACGACTGAGCATAAGGGACTGCGTTTGAAGTTGCTGGATAAGTGAGTTAGCTAAATTGATTTCTGAAATTCTCTATCCAGCCTTCTAGGTCTATGAAGATTGCTGAAGTTACATTGATTTCCAGGTGATCTTAGATTTCTGTTTTATGGGAATAGGCATCTTCTAAAAATAATTATCCACCTGACAATCGAACAGACTAACAAATAAACTTAGAACCACACAGAGACGTGTGGCAGTTCAGGATAGCAAATTTAAGATAGCACAGAAGACGAAAATGAACAGAAAAAGATTATTAAAGTGGACAAAAAGGTGAATAACAAAAGAGAATAATTCGATACAAGTCTAACAAATATTTGTTCCAAAAAACTGGATTACACAACAGGCAACGCTACCGAAATAAAAATAAACGAATTTCAAAAACAAAAACAACAAGCGGTAATACAAACAAATGTATTTACCTTTACTATTTGAGCTATTCTTATGTTGCTCGGAAAGAAACGATGTATCCCCATTATCAAGTGCTTTGGATGCATTTTCATCATGTTTAGCAATGAAGTCTTCAACTGGTTTCGGTAAAATAACCGACTTCTTGCTACGGTTACGGTTTTTCCACTGAGACCTACTTGAAGAGTTAACAGACCATTCTCCGGTACATATTGAGAAGTAATCATATCGTTGATCTAATAAGTCTGACCACCATTTTCTTATAGTACAATCATCGAATCCATAAGAATGAATGATTTTAGAATTATGGCTGGACGAAGTTGGAATATATTCACTGAAATTGATTTCTTTCTTGTATAAATAGTTTAGTTGTGTTTTACGGAATGGACTAAGTAGACCATCTTGTTCATATTGTGAACATGTGACAAACTTGTTAGAGTCAGATTCTATACCATTGTCACTACAATCAGAGATAAAATTGTCATTATTCCTCTGATAATGGAGTGTAGACTGACTTTGAGTATTCGAGGCTGGATCATTTACATCAGATCTGAATAAATTACGCAGTGGCTGCGATAAAGACGTCTTGACCGAGGCCTGAATAAAGAAAGTGATGATTTATAATCAGTTGACAATATACGTATCATAAAATATTCGGTTACTTAATACCTGTGTTCTGTTGTTTTTCTAAAGTGATGACGTTCCAATAAAACTATACAAATTAGCCTTTAACACCACTGGGATTTCAATAAGCTTATCTTCTGCTGCAGAATGACGAACAAGTTCAGTCATGAGAGATACACATGACATCAACTGTTTGATAATCAAGTTAGAAATACTTCAAGTTTTTATAATCAACATGCTGTTTGGCTTTTTATTTTTATTTTCCAAACCTGGCCAAATCTGGATATTAAGAACAAGATATTCAGCGAAGAGACTCTTTTCAACGAATTTATTTTCAAGCTGTACAATCGTATATATATGGTATTTGGAAAAAATTATATCCTGTGAGGAAAACTAAACACTATATGGTGATGACAGTAATAATAGAGCGGGTGATGACATAGGCATTTATGATTATAATAACAATTGAAGTGCGAATGATAACAAATAGATTATGTAATATATGGAATGGTACATAGAGAGTATATAACTCAGAAGGGGGTGAAAAAATTATTGAAAATGGTAAATCAATTAAGTATTATGTAATGGCATTAGACAAATTGGACAAGATGAAGTCAATGTTTTCTAAAAGGATTAAGACAATTAAGTGAAATAACACCGGAAACTAGTTGAAGTGAAGGCGATTATAATAACAATAATAGTGATAAAGGAAGGATACAAAGGTTAAATTAACAAAGTGGGAGGGGGAGCTAATGGGGTGGGAAAATGTTATGGCCATGATAAAGACAGTGACTGCACATACTTCTTTTGTACACACAGATCAGGTCTTAGTTCATGAATAGCTAAAGCCTCCGCTGTTTTAAGGAGTTGAAAACGAAGAGAACGTGGGAGGTCTGGGCGAATTCGATAAATAATTTCAAAGTCATCGTCTGGATTTGTTGTGTGATGGAAGTCAATCAAATGTTCTAGAATCGAACTTCTAACAGACTTTCTTTCACCTTTATAAAACCAAGCAGGAACATGTTCTCGTATACGTGTAGAAAGCATTCTCTGGCTACGGCCGATGTACCTTGCTCCACAGGAGCAGGTGAACTGGTAGATGCACATAGAGGCGGCCAAACGAGGAAGCTTGTCTTTGACGCAGGTGGAGAATACGTTGTGGCTGGTAAAAGTCAACTGGAGTCTTGCTGCGAAGAAAGTCCTATTGATTGATCTGGTAAGACGACTCTTCAGTACATCCGATGCTAGTGTTTAGTTTTCCTCACAGGATATAATTTTTTCCAAATACCATATATATACGATTGTACAGCTTGAAAATAAATTCGTTGAAAAGAGTCTCTTCGCTGAATATCTTGTTCTTAATGTTACAATGGGAATTATTAAATTATTAAAAAAATCTGGATATGGACAGATTTAAAAAAAGTACTCATTGCATTTTCTAAGCAAATATAGATAATCTGTATCCTAGCGATAACTGCTATTCCCACACAGGTTTTCTTCGGCCACTTACATATCGTAAACTAAGATGTGTGAATTGTGCATTTCCCTATTCAACTTATAGACAACTTGTTAATAGTTCACACTTTTTCTTCCTAATTATTCTTACGAAACCATTTTTGATGATTAAGTAAGCGTAAACCAAAAAGACTATGAGCTTTTAAACGAACCGCCCAATAAAACTAAATTAACTCCTTTCAATCAATTCAAAAGTTTAACAAATTAATGGGAGGAAAATACCCCCACAAAGAAGAATGAAGCTACAAACGAGACATTACTAGCCATCAGTCAACAAGAGTGGGTGACCAGTTTCTCAACCGGAAAACTAAGCTTGACTGAAGTAAATATTCTCGAGAAAGGACTAAACTTCAGTGTGGCAAAAGCTCAACTCAAACCTGAATATGTTATACCTAGCATAGAAGTAGCATTAAGCTCAATAAATAAGACAACTGTTGATCAGATCCGTGTACAATATGCACTAACACTAAAACACCAAAAGAAAGTGAGGAAAAACTGAACGAGATCGAAAATCTTAACACTGGAAAATTTGAAAAACGACAGGAGTATAGTAATTGCTAAGTCTGACGAAGGCAACTGGGTAATAGTTATGGATAAGGTGGATTACTAGCGAAAGTCAATCAACATATTGAAACAAGATCATATGAAAAAATTGACAAACATGAAGACATAGTTATGAACAAGATTAAAAAGACCACAGTCGATCTAATACGCCAAATGAATTTATCTCTAGGTGAGTCGGTGGTTCAGTTTACTGCCTAAAAATAATAATCCTGGTAGAATGTAAGGTACCGTTACGGTTTATAAAACAGGTTATCCCATTAGGCCAATGGTTCACATTAGAAATAAATCAACATATGAGTTATCCAAATATTTAGCTATAATACCCTATTAGGAATCGCTCAAAATCTAGGGTCACCAATTTATGACTAAATGGTATACAATTAGAGAAGGAAGAAAACATGGTCAGTTTTGATGTGACGAGACTCCACACAAACATATCAATTAATATGGGGCTTCATGTAGTCAGAAATCAACTCACAACTGACCATGTGTTCAGTAATAGAACTAGAGTTTCTATGAAAGAAGTCCTAGAGATAAGAGTATGTTTAACTTCCACAGTTTTCAAATTTCAAGACAAAATATATAAACGACAGAAGGAGTAGCAATAAGATCTTCAATATCGCCGATTGTAGTAGACATATTTATAGACAGTTGAAAATAAATGGCATTAGGAACATTCCAACCCACCCAAAAAGTATGGTGGCGATGTAGATGACACATTTGTTGTGTTGAAACAAGAACATACACACAGCTGTGATGGTTGAGAGACTTGGTGCGTTACGAAAAGCATTCCCAACAAACTACAGACATTCATCAACAGCTGCCTACACTCGATACTGAAGACCAGATGGCCAGAAAGAATAAGCAACAAGGAACTCTGAGAACGAACCAAGCAGCAACCTATCGCTCAACTAATATGCAGAAGGAAGTGGAGATGGATTGGATTGGGCGTATACTGAGAAGGCCGACTGGGGACATCACGCTCAGGCTAGGCTTTCGAGTGAAACCCAGATAGGAAGCGACGAGTTGGGCGTCCGAGGGTGACATGCGAAGAAGAAATGAGAGCTTGTGGGCTGTCGTGGAGCCAGGTTCAAAAGATTTCAGAGAACAGAGAGCACCGGAGACGTGTTCCATTGGGAACCCAACGGACAAATAATAATAATAATAATAATGAAGATAAAACAAATGAAAAACCGTTGGACTGTATAAAGAAAGTTTCAAAATCACATGATTACTTCGATTTGAGCAATAAGCTCCAGTAAATAATACCGTATCACTATGTGCTATACCAAATGACTAATCTAGTATGGAACCATTTATTATGCAAATCTTTAACTGTGTAACAAATTTGAAAGTATTTTCATCATGGATTGAAATCAGTTAGTGAAGCTATTTCGTCGTTGTTTGAAACTTTCCAACAGTGTGCACCCATGACCCCACAAGGGATCAACAAATATCTACAAACCAAGAATTAAACTATTATCCAGTGTTCACTAGTAACATGTTTCACGCCGAATTTCTCGAGGTTATAGTGGGAAGTCAGAAACTGTGAGGTCAACCAAGTCGGGAGTGAGGCATATGTCCACCGATTGCATCGGATGATGGCTGAACTATATGATAAATTGACAGAAGTATAAATTAGTGATCCACTGGATTCTAACCTAATGATTGCATAGCAATGGGCTAGCCATGAGTTCTAACGATTCTACATTCGATCCCTCATCAGGTCCTGTGGATGCACTGCTGAGGAGTCCTAAAAGCAGACGAAACAGTTTTCCAGTGCACCCAGGTTTTCAATGGTTATCTGCCTGAAATCAATCTGTGATAATTACTTTCATATCAATAACTTCCGACAAACCAACAACTAATCTATGTAACAAATCTTTTTTCGCTTTCACAATCTGACTGTATAATTATTTTATTTTTCAATTGCTGTCCTGATTTCCACGAGCGAATTCCACCCCTTTGACATCTTGAAACTGATGAGTTCCTGTTAAACAACTTGTCACCACTAGATAAGAAAATTACGTTGCATAGCCTTAAAATACCCATATATTGGTGTAGAACTACTGATGAAGATTAAATTGAAAAAGAACATTTCTTCGGTCAATTTATTGTTTTTGTAGGCAAATATAATGATCAGAGCTGAACAGTGGGGGAAAAACAAAGTTAAAACAAATATGAAACATGAAAATCAGAAAAAATTATTTCAGTGAAGAAACTTTCCTTTCGATAATTCATTTGCAAACATTTAAGTTTGTCCTAATTCACAATACACAAATAATCAGGCTAAATGAAAGTATCTGAGTCAAATAAAAACGACCTACTTGAGCTAAATTGATCTTCTTTACACCTGTCTCACCCCAACCGACGTCACAACCAACTTTGAATTCAGTCGAACCTAATAAATCAAGAGTTTTTTCTGAATTGAGCAGATCAATATCCCTACGAACAGTCATGATAAGAGGTTGGTTAGAATCATGTATTTTAGCATTACTATACGAAATTTTATCACCTTTCGATGAAACTGCATAAATTTTATGAGATGGATAAAATCTTGAATCAATGTACTGTACCCACAAAATCCAGACGAAAGGTCGATCATATAACGAAATATCAGATGTTTGAGCGCTTTCAACTGGAAGATCTGCAAAAGATTGTAAAGCCTTGGCAACAGAACTAAGTCGATGCTTATTTATTGGTGAGTAAAGAAAAAAGGAGAAATGAATTAACTTTAAATAGAAGGTGTACTAAATATAATGATTACAAGTTGTCACACTACAGCTAACTTAAGGGTACACCCAAAAAGGCAGTTTTCTAGATCGAAGGTTGTTTTAGAAAATAATAAAATGCTTTGTTTTTACAGGCAAGTTTTAACTACATTTTCACATATCTTTAACTTTATTGCACTCGAAATACTTGAGCGAGTAACTTTTAATTTTAATGCTTCGTATAAAGCGATACATTGAGTTTAAAAAACGAAACAATAAGAAATCTTTAAACAAAACATACATGAATTTGGAGAAATAAAGTCTAGAAAGTCTTAAAGATTTGTACATGACAGATCATATTTGACTACGAGTGGTAATTAATGCTAGAAAGTCATCCAGCAAACAATAATTCATCTATATGCACATTATTAAAAACAAATATATGGCAACCTTTTTGTTGATCAAATATAAAGGGGGATAGAAATAAACTAAAGATTAGTAAACAGATGGAGTACTAGAATCTATACGTCAGCGCACAAAAGACGTTAAACATAATTAATATTGATGATACTTAATCGAATATGAGATTAGAAGTGTTTTCAGCGTGAAAACTATGCTTTAATCAAGGAATAATTAGCATAGTCTACAGAAGAGCTAAATAATGCTAAACTTGGAGGTGCAGTTCAGTAATGTTTAATCACTCGATTTTCAATCAATCGGCTACGGATTCGAACAAGGCTCTAAATGTTGAGATTTCAACAGTTAATCAGTAATCAACAGCTTTTGCAATAAGGATGGCTGAAAAAGTACGGTGTTTAATTTCCATCCTCTTAAACTCTGACAATATGTTTCCCGAAGCGAAACGTTACTGAATAGCTAAGCATTTAGTTCTAAGTATAAAAAAAACCAAGCAGAAGTTTGTACCCCATCGAAGATCATGGTAAGGCAGTATAACTAACTGTACATCAACAACATGCTAGTGGTATACACAGCCTACGATTACGGTCGGTTGAAGTTTTTGAGTACTTCACAACTATTAACATTGTGAAAAATTAGCTGTGATTCACTATAATGACTACACAACGTGTCAACTGTTAACCAGTCCATTTGCTCATAAATGGTGTAGCAAGTGTAGATAAATGGGATGAAGGTAGTACTAAAGCTTAACACAGCACAGTGAAATTTACTCTTTCCATCAGTTAGCTTATGTAATCTATTACAAATAAACACATAAAAAAATTTTAAAAAGACTTTAAATAACCCTGAAAGTTGACTTACCTCAAAAACATCATTGAGCTTGAACACAAGACGCAACAATATAACAACAAATGCCATTGCAAACACTTCCGGCCGAACAACTCGCGGCCATGGGATCAAGTGTAATAAATGACGTTGTATAGTCTGACTAATAGTAATACATTGTCCTTGTAACTTCTTTAACAGAGGTTTTACAAATGTATGCATAACCTCTGGAAGACCTAAAGCAGTTATATGACGATGTATCAGCCAATTCAGTGGATATCTGGAATGAGAAAACAGAGAAAAGTTAATATACGCATGTGATACAGGAGGTTGATGTTACTAAAGGTAATTCAGTCTGACAAGAAAAGAACTGATTAAGTGTTTTTTCTTTAGCTGCATACAATCTGAATGAATAAGTAAATAATCGCAGTATGCAGCTGAAGAATAATCCTATAAAATAAATCACGTTTTTCAGAGTTAATTTGTATACGCGAAGAAATGTAGAACGTGCTAAACTTGTTACCGGGAGTGATACTTCGTGCCCGGAAAGAATTTATGCAAAACCAATCCACTATAATCAGTACATCAAAGTAAAATTTTGTCTTTAAAACCAAACTGTTATGATTGGAAAACTATCACGGCTGTAAACGATGCACGGATATCGACTGTTAGCCACCAATGTTCAACAAATTCCTAGCTGATTCCCGACCCGACCAATTAATAGAGAAGATACGATGGACGTGTAGAAACGTGTATTGGGTCGAAAGAACGAAGACAAGAACAAAAGAAAATATATCTAAAGTATAGATAGTTCGCCGTTTAAAATAATAATATTCATTGGATGATCCATCATCTGTCTCTCTAGCTGTAGACGTGATAACATAAAAAATATACCCGTCGCACAAAAAGTGGCTATCGTGGTTCGGTGGTCTAGTGGATAACGCTCTGGCGTTTGAAGCGATCGGTCCCGAGTCCGAGTCCCAGTGGGAATAACATCACTTACTAGTAAGTAGGTACGTCCAGTTGATTGGATTCCACTGCTAGCCACTCTCCATCATTAATAAGATACATTTTGATTGGTCCCTCTCCAGACTAGTAAACATGTAAGCTTTACTTCTTGTTATGCCACGTATGATCAACGTTAATTGCAATGAAACCTGAAGACACATAATAAGTCAATGATTATCGAGGTACTGAATACACTACTTCAGCTATGACCTTCAATAAATCTATCGCTGTTCCAATTAAAAAATGAAACTAGAATACTACTAACGAACCTCCATTCCAAGCATTCGAGAAATTAAAACTCAATATAATCCGCTGTGATCCCGTCAAACCATATACAGAAACATGTACAGTATAAACTAAAGTGCAAATCACTAAACTTCACGGTTCATTCAAGTTCAGTGAGAAAATAACCGTCCCGGTACATGTTCATGATGACAATGAATACACGAATTTTTAATCGCACACAACGATAGGTAATTGCTAAAGAAAATATGACCTGATTGTTATACCTCCAACAGAAAACATGTTTAGTATTCTAGAGGAACTAACTTATGCACAAGACGACAACAGTCGCATGTCAAAACATTAGTGTTCAAATAACTTTTTCGGTTACTACCAACCTTTCGTTCAAATACTTACTAAAAGCGTGGAAATATAATGCAATTACAACATCATCATCATCTGTCAATATAGGACCGTGCATTAGTGCGTGACGGTTAGAGTTGCCACAGCCTTCAATGTGACAGAGAGCCTTCAAAAAGGTGATCAATTACAGCATGAATACTGTGCATATCTGAAGAACAGTAAATGAAACTGAGTAACTTTAATCAGTGCAGTTTCGTGTCGTTAGGCGCCACATTTATTAAGTGAGAGTTTATGATACCAACCGGTTGCCCATGCTGAAGTAGACAGAATAAGTTTTGAATCCAAGACAGCTTGAAAGTTGGGGATCCGAATCGATGGCCCACAACTGTGGAATGCTATTTTCACAAAAGCCTTTCTAAAACATTGGAAGGTCAGTACGAAGTAATTGGCAAACGTGATTACACAATGAAATAAGATATATGGAGAAATTAAAACTGTGAAACGGCATAACAGTACGAAACATTTCGCACTTATAGTAGTAACAACGTGATAAAAAGGCAGATACATTGCATAGCAGTGATATTAACATCAGGTAGAGATTCTGCATTTAACACTACAAAAGTCTATTTTATTGACTCAACAGAGACCTCAACAACAACTTGTTAGACACCGAGAAACTGGACAAAAACAAATAATTTATCAAGTGTACTGGTCTCGTGAACTTTATCCAAGAGATCTTATCAACAACCTATAAAGATGACCTATTCCACTGTAAAAATGTGTAACAAGCAAGTTCAATGCTTGATGTGTGTGATTTATATGCCATGACACGTGTTTACTGAATCAGCCTTGGTATAGGAAGTACTACAAGAATAAAATTTAAGTCGATATGATGGTAAATATTTTTAACTCGTAGTGTGTTTATATAGTTTGACTGTGAAAGACGTCTATACTGTGGTCGAAAGCTTTGACAAAGAAAACTTAGTTTTAAAGAGCAATAATACTGCCAGAACATTATCATCAATTCAAAAACCCAGAATAAAAGTTTACTATTACGAAGAACGAAAACAATATACTAACTTTGGAAATTGATTTAATCCAATAAATTCACGCATTCGTACAGTTGCATATGTTAGGTGATCGATTTCTGGAGGTCGAGGACGTCTAATCAGGCTTAGCAGACTTTGATCACGTATACAGTACGCACCTGGGGGGAATAAACTTTCAACCTAAATTTCAAAAGAATTATCAATTGTAAATTAGTTTTAGTTCACAGGTAATTTAAAAAAGTATATTCTACCAAAAACTGTCAATAATAGTTAGATAAGAAATCTCACAAAAAAAATATCGTCTGAATGATGCAAACCTCTTCATATCAGTGAGCTACCAGAACAGAAGCATGAATTGATATAAAAAGGTTTACTAAACTTATGTCATTTTGCATCAATTACAATAATGACAAGGTGAATAAATGTGTTGTCACAATAAGGTGTACATTGTGGGGTACCAGTGTTTGAATCTTCAGGTCTAAGATTGGCTATAGCATACTAATCAAATGAAACGGCTAGTAATCCTCTTCAAACTTTATACTTGTGATGAATTGTTATAGACAGTGAAATAAAAATATAAGTTGGTGTTGCTAAATTAACATAGCCTCAAGTGCTTCAGCAGTGCAACAAGCTTGTATACTCATCACTTAACATTGGGAGTTTTGAGATTTTCTAAACATTGTTACAAATTTAAATAAATGAAAAGATATGTATGGAAATTAGTGCAACGGATAATGAATATCTAGCAATACAAGTTGCAGAAAACAGTATCAAATATTTTCCAATAATATTCAATAATCAACTACTCACTGTGAAGAAAATCAATTGCTTAAAGATCATAACCTGTCACGGTGATATCAAGCGTGCAGGTTAGTAAACTTAAACGGGAACCTTCGATAAATACATCTATTGTGACAATATCAAGAAACGCGTCAGCAGTATACACCTCATAACGGTAACTCATGTACAGAGATTTTACAAAAATAAGAACCTTGTTGAGATTTGTAGATAGGGTTGACAAGTGACACGAAATCAGGATAACGAATGAGCTAATAAGATCATCGACAACTCACTCATCTAATACAAGGAAAAAGATAGTGCTGGAATGAAGATTATTAACTTCAGTCGGAAAGGTATGAGTTTAGGGTGTGCAACTTATTCGTTTCTATACAGTGTGGATGCCCATGAGGAAAACTGACAAATTAGCACATTGAAAGTAGAAAAACAAATATCGGGAAAGTATCGTCTTTAAAAGCGGTAGAATGATCGATGTATGTGGGGCAGGAAAAGACACAAAAAAGATAAATTCAAATTTCGATTAGGTAAATTCATGAATTTACGGCATCAGTCATTCATTTTTAAGGAGTGTTGATTAATGATTAAATCAGACCCGGCACTTAATTTCTTCGTAACACCTACGGTCTGAATGTTTTTAATAATGAGATTTGATAACCATCGGATATTCCACATAGCTGCGAAACATACATTCTGTAGGCGTTAGCCATACTAAACAATACTTAAACCAAGGAATATGGGATGTGATTCAAATTCGTACAACACCAGTTGAAAACTCAGTACTTAAGCTATTGAATCATAATTCCAATGGACGTTAAGAACTAATCATGAATCGATGATGTTTACTTGGAAGTTAGTACTTGCATTTCAAGAACTAAATCAACTTAAAAATTCGATCAACAAACTATCTATCACTAAGTCCTATACAGAATCCATTCTTTTGTCACTTTGGAAAAGACTATTAAGTGAATAATGAAACCAGTTATCAAGGTAATGCGCTAGTATTTTTTTGGATGCACAAATATTTAAGCCGGCAGCCACACAATTTGAAAAACACTCATGGCTGACAAGTGGTTTATAACCTTGATCTACTCATCAGTCAATCTTATTCATTTATATTTCTACCTTACCTTAACAAGTATGTAATTCATTGGACATGTGTTCACAAAAATTGCTGATCTTTTTTCCTCTATGTGACTTAACGTGGATCGGTCCTAGTTTCCAAGACATTCAATAAGGAACGAAAAAGAATAGTATCCTAGACAAGAAGATATAACGGCTGGAGACTTGTCAGTACTCAAGTGAACAATTAAGGAAATAATGAAGAGTTTCAAATACATTAGAAAACCTCTTTTATTTGATGTAGTAAAGTTAAAAATCACGAGATAATAGCATCTGACTACGTATACTGCAAAATATCTAGTAATCAATCTTCCTTTGAAGTAATAGGCTAGAAGTAACCACCTAAAAACTATTGCTAGACTCGATAATTTGAAGTACAATTTTTCATATACACAAAGCAATTATTAGCACATCAAAGAACTGGAGGTTTTGAAAATTCTTTTGTGCAGCTATCAAAATCTCATTCACTGAACTTCATACATTTTCTTATCATAGCAGGAAAACTTGGGAGTTCTCATTCTGAACCAGATAGCGCAAAATATGTTATACAAAGTCATTAGGAAAGCAGTGCATATGAAAAGGAAGATACACAAACAAACTAATAGTTCAACACTTCGGAACACAATACAAAACGAAAACGTTTAGAAACAAAATGATATCAATGTAAAAAGAATTGAATAATAAAAGCGGGAATCAAAGAATGATACTTAGTAAGATATCCAGAACTACGAAAATGATAAAGAGCGTATATATCTGCGCAGCTAAGAGACATTTACAGTCAGTTCATCGAAACTCTGAACCCATTAATTTTTATCACCTCAGAAATCTCAATTCAGTCCAACAACAACAAACTAACGATTCCTCAAATATCCCAGGCAGATTATGCTTTATTTTCAGTCAGTCCAAAACAACATCGACCTAGATGGAAAGAAGAGGAAGACAGTACCATTTCACGAGACAGATCAGAACCACCAATGTCAGCAGCTACGCAACACGGTCACAAACAGCCAATAAATCAATGAATGTCGACAGCAAGTTTGTCATTCACTGTTGAGCTCGGCTATAATAGTTGAAATACGTGAAGTCATTCAGTAAGCTTATGTGCACTTAAACGTCGCCAAAGTAATTAATCACGACTTACTAGCCGGTCCTAAGCCCGGGTAAAGAGGGAAGGCTGGGCGTAGAGCTAGCAACCCTACCCCGCAAAACAAATCGAATCGCTAAAGAAACTTCAAAGCACAAAGTAAATATAAAAAATAAAATCAAACTTATTCCTCGCTGGAATCGGAGAGACGAAATGACGCCAGTTGGTGAAAGCCTTCGGGAAGCTAGTCGGCCGATGTGTCTTCTCTCGATGAAAGCGAGAGTAAACATGGGGACGTGGAATGTCCGCACCATGTATGTACCTAGCAAGGCTGCCCAGATTGCAAAAGAGATGAGGAGGAATGGCATGGAAGTGCTTGGAATATGCGAAAGCAGATGGAATGGAAGTGGACTCTCCAAACTCTTAACTGGAGAGTCAATAATCTACTCCCATATTCCTATCCAGACGACAACCACGAGCACACTCAGTTTTGGAGTGGCTATCATGATGTCTCCAAGAGCATCGAAGGCCTTCATGCAGTGGGAGCCAGTCTCCTGCAGGATCATGACAGCAAGATTTAACTCAAAAGGAAGGAAGGTCACAATCATACAATGCCAAGCTACACACCTACAAATAATGCAGATCAAGAGAAGAAGGAGGAATTCTACAGACAACTGAAATCAGTACTGTACAAGACTCCAGTTGGCGATATCAAAATTCTAATGGGTGACATGTTTTAATGCCAAACTCGGAGCGGACAACACAGGTAGAGAACCAATCATGGGTCGATAGGCACTCGGTGAAATGAACGAGAATGGAGAACTGTTTGCAGAATTCTGTGCATTCAACGATTTGGTGATTGGAGGCAGTGTGTACAAACACAGATATTCACAAAGCGAGCGACATGGACTTCACCAAACACCAGGACACACTACACTAAAAACCAGATTGACTTCATTTCAATCTCAAGAAAGGGGAGATGCAGCCTACTGGACACAAGATCAAGAAGGGGAGCAGATGTAGGTTCAGACCACTCACTTTCTGGTGCAAGGAACCTTCAAAATCAAGTTGAAAGCCTTCAAACAAGTTGGTGATAGACCACAGTTCAAGTTCAACACCCGGAACAGGAACTAAAGGACAAAACTACAAAGGACATCTTCACGTCGGTCATTAGGACAAAATGGGAGATATTGAGCAACATCCCTGAAGAAACCTGCGTGGAAGGACACTGGAACTCTTTGAAAGAGATGTAGAAAGAAACCTGCATAACCGTACTAGGAAGGAAGAGGAAAAAAGACAAGTAATGGATCTCGACGAACACGTGGAAGCTGATAGAGGAGGCAGAGGAAGATGGTGAAGTAGAAGATGAACCAGTAAAGGGATAAACAACGTAAAGAGGAACTGAGTACAACCTATAAAACACTACACTGAACAAAGAAATAAAGAAGAGTGAGCGGAAAGACAAAAGATACTTCCACGACTGAAGCATAACAGGCTGCTGGTAGGAGAGACCTGACAACATTGTATCAAATAACCAGGTTACTATCGATCTGGGAAGAGATCAACACAAATGAAGCCAATGGAAGATAGTGGAGGAAACTTAGTTACCAAAGAGGAGAAACAAAGAAAACGATGGGCCGACCACTTCAAAAAGCTCTTGAGTCGACCACCGCCTACAACTCGTCCAGAAATACCACCAGCAACGGTAGAACTACCAGTGAACACAAGCCCTCCGACAAAAGCAGAAGTCCTGAATGCATTAAAACTGCCGAAATTCGGGGAAGTAGCAGGACCAGATGGAATTCCTCCAGAAGCACTGAAAACAGACGCAGAGACATCTGCAGACATGCTCACACCACTACTGCAGAAGGTTTGGAAGAAAGGAAGGAAAGGTACCTTCCGATTGTGAAACTCCCAAAGAAGGGAGATCCAAGCCTTTGCAAGAACTGGCGAGACATCATGCTGCTGTCCACCCCAAGCGAAACATTAAGCCGTATCATCCTGGAGAGACTTAAGGATGCGCTGGATTCAAAATGACGACCGGAACAGGCTGGCTGGCTTCAGGAAAAACAAATCATGTGCAGATCAAATTGTAAGACTATGCTACGCATCATTACTGAACAGAGTATAGAATGGCAGTCAACTCTCTACCCTACCTCAACTTCATCGACTTTGAGAAGGCCTTCGACAGCGTCGACCGAGAAGTAATTTGGCAGCCGCTCCAACACTATGGTTTTAGTGCCACAAACCTTTGTCAACCTCACTCAACAGCAACCAAATGCTATATGATGCTGCATACCAAGTGATCCACAATGGAAAGCTCAGTGATACCTTTGAAGTGAAGACAGGAAGGAGTAAGACAAGGCTGCCGCCTACTATCACCCATGATCTTCCTGATTGTGGTAGACTGGATCATGCAGCAAACTGTGAGGAGTGAGAAGATGAGCATATGCTGTTTGACCAATGAAAACAGCCCAGAAGATTTGGATTTCTCCGATGATGATTTATGTATAATGCCTTATGCGCACAAACTCGAAGATCTACCGGCGAAAACTAACAAGTTGACAGAAGAGGCAGTCAAAACGGGACTTCAAGTGAATGTAGAAAAGACAGAGGTGATGAAGATGCCCAGCCAACAACAGCATCAACAACAAGCACCAATCACCACTAACGGGAGAAACCTAAAGGAAGTAGTCTCTTTCACCTACCTACCTGCCTAGGCAGCATCGTTTTAACTACAGGCGGTGGCACAGATGAGGATCAGAAAGACAGACGTTCATCAACCTGAAACCAGTGTGGAGACCTATTGCACTGCACTCAGCATCGAGAGCAAGATCAGGATTTTCAACACTGATTCAGTCAAGTCAGTGCTTCCATGTGATGGTTGAGAGACTTGGTGCGTTACGAAAAGCATTCCCAACAAACTACAGACATTCATCAACAGCTGCCTACACTCGATACTGAAGACCAGATGGCCAGAAAGAATAAGCAACAAGAAACTCTGGCTGGTAATGAGCCAACCAAGAACCTATCACCCAACAAATATGCAGAAGAAGGTGGAGATGGATTGGGCATACACTGAGAAGACCGTTTGGGGACATCACGTTCCAGACACTCGAGTGGAACCGAGATGGTAAATGGCGAGTTGGGCGTCTGAGGCGAGGGTGACATGGAGGAGATCATGTGAGGAAGAAATGAGAGCTTCTGGGCTTTCGTGTAGCCAGGTTTAAAAGATTGCAGAGAATAGAGTGGAATGGAGACGTGCTACTGAAGCCCCACTAGGAACCCAAGGGACAAATTATAAGAATGATGTACACTTTAGTAGGTTTTTGCTGAAATTTACTATCTTGAAGAACCCTAATTCCGATTTTCTCTATCATGGTTGGCAGTGGGTTAGCGAAAATTTCATGAAAACAAAAAGGCGCGGCAAAATCATGTGCATTCATATTAGATTTGAGACTTATAGACTTGTGAGGTATAAATCAAGATAAAAACTAATGTCGATTCTCTCGTACATTTTTGCTTCCCACATGAACGTCAAAAGCAGACAAATCAATAAAAGTAACGACAGTATCCTTGAGTGAGTTGAAATAATAATCCCTATCTCCCTGCTTCTTAATTACAATTAATGTCTTTTTGAAAACTATTCGCCTATCATCTTCATAAGTGCATTACACCTCTCTACGTAAATTTGGCAGGGCTTCCCGTTAGATTTGATGAATACTTCTTATGAATGATGTTTCGTCACTGGGATATTATTATTATCAGAAGACATATGAACGAACAATATTGCTTTCAATCAGCTCTCATCAGGCTTTACGCAAATATACATAACTTTTCTCATATGTAAAACACTAAACCAATCATAGTGAATTCTTTATTCAATGGTAACAAGGAAATCAAGTATGCAGATAGTAAATATCTGGATAATAGTAGTCGTAATAGTAATTAGCTTAGTGATGACAGCATTGTACTGCAGACACTTAGACAATCGATGTAGGTCGAAACTTAGAAAATTTAAGTTGCATAATACTAAAGGATGAAGTCAGTAGATAATCAAAGTCTAAGTAAATAAGCATAGGTATGAAAGGGGCAAAGAAAAAGGAGGTGGAAATTGAATTTATCTTTGAAGTCATTTATTAGATTTTCCTGGTCACGGCAGAGACAAGGGCTGCACAAACTTTTTCTGCACACAAAGACTGGGGTAGTTTTCCCTAATTCTCATAGCCTCAGCTAAATGCAACTTGCGAGTACGAATTCCATTCTAAAGGTTTTGTGGAATGCGATAGATGATCTTGAACGCTTTGGTCCTATCGATTACATGACCACTATCGACCAAAAGTGATAGAATTGAACGTCGTACTGAGATCGTTTGTCTCTTCTTTAGCCATGATGGTAGGTGCTCAACAACAGGCTTGTTCAGCTGTCTAGTGGTACACCTAATACAGCTTTCTGTATGGGAGCAGCCAAATTGATAAACATACTCAGAAGTGGCCAAACTGAGAAGCTTGTCTTTTGACTAAACAATGATTATCGGCCGACTAGAAAATGGTAAGCAAAAGTTAGCAGCACAGAAAGTTTTTCTGATGGCTGTAGACAGCCTCCGGAACAGAACTTCCCCAGGTACGTCCCCTTTAAGCTGAAGCTTCATGAAGTGATTTCTTTCAGACAGTTATTTGTGCAGACTTCTTACTCATTTTGTCCACGTGTCTCTTGACAAAGCTATGAGAATAACGCATTTCTACCAGCATATTATGAATGTATTCTAACTCCTTTCATATCGGAGCAGATTCTTCTAGCTCTGCTTGTAGACATTTAACTAAGCTTCTTTTATACCAAGTGGGAACAAAACTAGGGAAATGTATCTACCGAACCGTAGGTGTGGTACCTCTGCACACTTCTACTGAGTGACCCGCCATCTCTTCTAGGACATTTTTTTAAATGCAACATATTTCCTCGTTCTTCACAAGTGAAAATGAGAGGGATGTATATCATTGAATTTTCTTCATAACTCGTTTTTGTCGACGTTTTGATGAAGGTCGATAAAAGTGTCGTCAATATAACATTTATACATGTATAGATTACTGATGACATCTCTCAGCGGTCCATCGCTAAGCTTAGCAAAAAAATCAGCTAATATTGGGCTTAATGGTGAACCCATGACAATGATATCGATTTATCTGTAATGGTGCATCGTAAAAGTGATTGTTTGAGGCTAAATTTTGGAAGTTCAACAGTAATCTGTTTTTCCGATAACTGCTGACAAATAAATTCTACTGTTTCAACAAGGTGTAACATTGGTGAATAAAGGAAAAACATCATATGTTCCCCGTTCATGTTCACCTTTTCAAACTTGGAGATGAAGACAAATACATCTGAAACACAATTCTTTACAATTTGTATGGGTTGTAGAACTCTGATTAACCACTTCACGATTTTATGATACGGGGAACTGGACATATCAAAAACCAGTTTGTGAACTTAATCTAATCATATTACCAAGGTTGTCTTCAAATCTTATCATTCTTCCTTCATTACGTTTCCTATTATTACATTCTTTTATCTCATTTGTCCTTCCTGTACTTTGAGTTTTCCTATAAAACGCAGCAACAAGTATGTATGTGAACCGGTCGTTCGAAATGTATAGCTCAAATACATCACGTTTTTCAAGTAATATACATCTAATTACGCTGTCCAACTTCATAAAAAAGACTAATTGTTTCAAATAGTTATTATTTAGATAGTTGGTATTTGCATGCCTAATTTCCTTATTAACACAGACGAAAGAATTCACTATGATTGGTTTAATGTTGTATGTATGAGAAAATTTACGTATGTTAGATTAAGGCCTGATGAGAGCTAAGTGAAATGATTAATATCTTCTAATTATAACAATGGGAATTTTCGACATATTATTATGAGATAAGCAATGAACGAGACGAAACGCACTCATTCACCTTGTGCACATTTGTGCAGTAGGCAGTGAGCCACACCTATTGAGTAAGCGCAGGTAATACTACTTGGTTGCATAGACCTCGGTAGGTAGATCGGGGTTCGAACCCGTGAGCCACTGGTTGATGGTCATCTGCCTAAACCACTGAGCCATAGTTCCATCGATAACTAATGATATGTGACAACACAATTACATGATTGAATATACGTTCGTGATTTAGATTATTAGTCGCGGTCATTTTTTGAAGGGTGATGATACTTTGTGTTTGCCAAAATTGAAGTAAATGGAATGTGATTCGAATCTGTAGCCTACCAGTTGAAAATTGGGAGCGTACGCCCTAGCTTCAATGGAAATGTTAATAGTTTCATCATCAGTTTGAGTAGTTCAATTACCAATTTAAATGTTAGATATAAATTCAAAGATCATGCTTATACTTACAGATGTGAAAGGCAAACGATGACTGATACATAAGTCTCGTAGGTCTTTCAAAGTGATCATTGTGGTAAGTGCACATGGGATGTTTGGGAAATCACAATTTATAAAACTTGATAAAAGTAATGGATTAAATGCTTTCCTTACAGGACTCATGGTTAGACAAGCAATAAATAAAACAGATATATTATGCTCCATCAGCGCACGACAGTTGAAACCACCTTCAATTTGACCACGCCAAAATAAATTGGTCATACTCTGTGACTGGGATCTGAGAAAAACAAGGAAATAACAAAGTATGCATTACTCATTCGAAAAAAATGTTTATCACTGAATGTATTACTGATTAGAAAGGAGTTCACTCAGTAGCTAAGTTGAGTCATGTCTACTGTATTAAATCCAATGTCAGTCAACTAATGTAAGGGGGATATGATTTTAGTTTGCAATGCGATCTAGCAATTAAGATGTGCGAGCTCGATTAAATCATCATAAGCATAGACGACCACTTTACACAATTCGATGAATACAGTAACAAACAAAAAGATTAATGTAGCTTAGTAAACAAATCGCTGTTAGTAACCAAAACATAGTAAATCAAGAAAAGCATCATGATACAAAAGAAAATATGTCCAAATATGCTGTAATACAAAAAATACACAATAAAGTGACGTTACAAAATAAAATGCACGGTTAAACTCTACTTCATGACACAAGCATTTCATCACGACTAACATTAGTTGAACCATTGAAAACCTGGAGGCACTGGACGAAATACCAGATTATCAATGGTTTTTTCTACGCCTGACGTTATTCTATGAGGAAAACTACCTTGAAATCAATCAATTGATTCCCACAAACCGCTAGATGGAAGCATTTTTATGAGGTTTTATTCGGAACCTGAACCGGAAATGAATAATGCATGAAACGGAATCTTTATGCTTTTTTGGAAGTTACTCATATAACGGTTTACAAAAATCGCAAGTAGTAAAATATGAACTTGTTTATGACCTATACGATGTAGTTGGAGAATAAATTTTTATCAATGCTTTTTAACCACACATATGCTTGACTTCATCTAGATAGATAGATGCCAAACTAATCAATTAAACACTATGGCATAATTCTCTAGCATTCGACACAATACCATTAGCTTAAAATGATGTTCATTCAAAAGACATTTCACACTACTACTCTTCGAATAACAGACCACACTCATCCTCCACCATGTCTTCATACCTAGGACAAGATGCTACTTTTTATCAATTCAATATGCATTTACTAATCCACACGTTCATTTAGAACTAGGCATGTTGGCTCTTTACCTGGGCCTATTCCTAAATGTATTCACGAATATCCCCAAAATGATTTACCAAGCAGCAAATTGAATAGATTTTATAGTCTATTTCGCAACATATAGCAGACTTTAAAAATTCGGCCACATTCTTCATTTGGTTAAGTCTACAGAATTCGATCAAAACTTTCTACGGGGTCTATCCATACACATACACCTGTTATACATTGTAGAAGCGTTAGTTATTCACAACCTGATGTCAGAGGTATGCGTACAAAAAGGTTTATGAAGTCTGTTCAAGCGAATAAAACTGGAACTTCACGTTCTACGTGAAAAATTTATTAGCTTCCTAACAATTCTTGACTGATTCTATTTGTTGTTGTAAGACTAAAATGTCTTTTACCTAGGTCACCTCTTTTTGACTATCTCATTCTATCACTATTCTTGGTTGCAGTTTCTAAATTCGAACACATAACCGGAGAATATATACCAACGAGCCAGTAGGTCAGACATGCGGTCTTTTGATTTCATTCAGTTGGATCGTAAAAGTTCCTGGGGTCCCGGGACGATATGAATTAGTGGTTGAGGACTATCAGTCACAATGGCGCAGATGTATTCACTCTTTGACGTCTTATGAAGCTTGAATATTTGCACTAAACTTTTTCTTTAAATTGTTTTTTCTCCGATGCGCCCTTGTCTACTTTGATATCAGTCTTTTTCTATCCACTTGTTCCTCTGCATGTTACTGTGAAGTATGACAACGTTAGCCGATGTACTTCTGTAAGAGTTTCTTTCTATTTGTATATGTCTTTCTATGCATAAGCGTTTTCCATGTGATACTGACTCATTATGATAGCCAGAATGAAAATTTAAGATTGGACCAAATAGAAACAACTTACAATTTTTTCGTAAAGTATGATGATAACGCATTCTGGTTGTCGTTTCCATAACCCCAGACAGAAAATTGGTCGGTCTCTGTGGTTTTGGATAGATCAGAGTCAACTGGGTTAGGCATTTCTGAAGTTCCTGTACAATTACTCAGTTGTTCATTATGTTGAGATTCCGAATCGACGTGACCTTTGAGATGCTCTTCGACGGAATCACAGTCTGATTCGAATGAGTCACATTCACTTCCTCGTTTACGTTTACGTCGGCACTTTACAAGCTTAGTTTTTTCACCAGTTGCTTTAGTTTTCTTGGGTTTCCTAAGGCATATATAGAACATTATGAAATTCGTATCTTGAATCACGAATAATAATGAAAATTCGCATTGTAAGAAAGTAGACAATCATAGATCTATGAAGTAACTAAGTCCTACACTTGAACAGAAAGTATGTACAGAGACAACTTTTACAATGACTAAATCTGATAAACATGCATAGTGCATTAAATTTCTGGAAACGGTATACTGGGAGTAAATGAGCGCCATGCTATGAATTCCTAGGCTTCAAACAAAAAATACTTTTTTATTGAACATGATTTTTCAACATCATCAACGATTCAATAATTTTTCCCTCTGAAATCGATTAAAGAAGATAAAACTTAAGAAGAATGTTAATCAACCTTAGTGATTGCGATTTTAAACGGCGTATTTGCATATTTGAATTAAAAGCCCCAATACATAGTAAATGGTAAATATTTAAACCAATTAACTAAGAAAACTGAATAATATGAACAATGAATAATTGACTTTCAAAACGCCTGAAGGCATTTAGTACAACAAAGTAACCACGTGCACATCCATCAAATAGATTATGAATCATACATTGTTTTAGGACTAAGGATATTACAATATAAATATGTAACTTCTCTGGGTGTAGCTACGCGGATTCGTATCCATAACCTATTTATTAAAAGTCAAGTGTCTAAACCAGAGCACCACAATTATGATAAGGAATATACGCAAATATAACAACGTAGAACTTTGAAGAAAAGTACATCCACTTCAACCCGTTACACAATACAAATGGACACAAAGAGAAAATTAAAAAAGTGGTAAACATACAGAAGGAGACAAATGAATTGGTTTGAAGTAATAAAATAACTGAGGAGCAAAACAGAAAGTGAATTACATCGCCACTGTAACAAATGAAAGGGCGAAAAAGAAAGTTTATAATGACAACCAGAAGATAGCTGTTTACCAAGATTTTAAAGTAAGTGAGCTAAATAATCAAACTATGGTTATGTAATTCCCATTTCTTTCTTCAATGATCCTCTTCCTATTGCATTCTCCAAGTAGTTTTATACACCATTTCATAGAGCTTTAGGAATTTGCACCTTGCCAAAATAGGCAGTTTTTGTACTGTTACTAATGATGGTTTGGATCAACAACCACGTCGTATCTTGGTGTACGAACATAACATATGTCTCACAGTACAGCAAACTGTGATTCACTTTGTATTGATTTACTGGTACATATTTGAATATAGACTACACACGATACAAGCCTTTTATTTTGAGTTATAAGGTCACAGGAATCAATATGAACCATCTCATCGGTAGTGTGAAAACAACCAATGGAAACTTTACTCATCATCATCATCAAGATCAACATAGGACCAGAAATTACTGCGTAACGGTCCGAGTTGCCAAGACTTATGTCAGCCCATCAAGTAGCAAGGTAATAAAATGGAAGATGAAAAAGGAGAGAAAAAATTGATTGGAAAAAGTTGAAAGTAGTAAAAGAGAGGAAGGAAGAATGAGAAAATGATGAGATTAAGTATAGCGGTTAAGATGAGGATAATGTGTGTATACATCTGCGCCACTGACATCGGTTCTGAGTCATATCACCTAGAGTCTCCAACCACTGGTTTCTCTTGTCTCGTGGACCCTAACCAGCTGGCCTGCATCGCCCTACGTGGCTCAAACGAACAGTCAAGGAGTTCATGAACTGATGTCAAGTTACAGAACATGATCATATTTACGCGTGATAAGCTTGGCTCACATATCATTTATCAATGAATAACGATGCTGCATTCTTCCTTCTTGAGTATAAAGATGTAATTCATGTAGTACGACGCAGACAGTCAACTCTTTTTCGACTTTAAAAATATGTTATTTGAGAGTATACAGATCCAATTTCTGAATAGTCAATGCATTGATATGAGAAAAAATCCCTAAACGTTTCAACATTACTGACTCTGTAACCATAAGAAAGCAGATGTTTACAGGATGACAAAATGAAATGAAAAGGAAACATAAATTCAGCTGGTATGACGAATGCTAACACTTACTTTTTCTGAGACATATGCAAAACATTAACGATTTCACGACCTTCATCTGGTTCATATAACGTACTCCAACCAAGCCAATGAAACTGACGCAGACAGGTTACAATAAACTCCCATTCATCTTTGTAATGATTAGTGGTCTTTGCATCAGCGGTCTTTGCGAATTTATGAGATTCTTTGCATCTCCGCAAGTGAACATTAACAGATCTTTTCTCTCCTTTCACTATTGGCTTCCGGCTTCTAAATACTTCACTAGTCGGTTTCATTAACAGACAAGCTGCATCTAGCCAAACATCAGAACCAAGTTCTCCTGTTATAGCCAAATAATGACGCCATATATTCAAAACGGTGTTACAAAATGACGCTTTTTCTTCAACAGACAGATTTAATTCCTTGACTAAACTAATTGCTTGACATTTCATTATGAACTACAAAGCAGAAATAGGAGAATTAAAAATGATAATATATGTGAACATAATGATGGTCAATATACATTAGTAGGTGGAGAACACTGTGCATTTCATTCTATAAAGTCTAAAGACACAGAACAGCTGATACCTAACCAAGAATAGCACTTATGGTCTGCACAACAACCGACACGACCCAAAAGGCCACTGCGGTCTTCTCTCAGTCGATTTAAAGTTCAACCTCTTGTGTAACACAGTATAAAATACAAAAGTAACTGTATTTCATACTTGACTTAACAGAAGCAAGTAACTCATTCTTCAAGGCTTCCCTAGTTGTGTTATTAACTAATTAATGAATATAACAGATAATCAAGGTACCTAATATATGACAACCTATTTACTGACTGAACCAACAGATAGTAAGAAAATGTATTGAACAACGTGAACCTCACACTGGATAACTATGATTTAATTCTAGTTGAGAAATTACTACAATATATGAAGTTCACTAAATCTATTTTATAATTCGTAAAGAGGGTAACAACCAGAGATTCCTCGCCTTATACAGTCATAATACTTTTCTATGGCAAAACAAAGATTGTAAGTCTATACGAACTATGAGCAAGGCTTGGGCGAATGGGCACCGGGTGCATAGCATAACATAGCATAACATTAGATATAGGTTATATTTGTATAAACCCCAGTGTGTCTAAAATAAACACACTGAGATCTGCATACATAAAATTTTAAAGAATTGTCAGTTTTCAAGCGGAAGAGAGCGAAAATATTTTTCAGTAATTCGTCACACTATTTGAACTAGTTTTATACGAATTGGATTTAGCTGTTTTAGTGAACAGAAAAAAAGAAACACGTACTTACTGTAAAAGGCTCAGATAGGCGCCATGGACGATTTTTTCCTGTGAATTTATCTTTTTCGGTTATATTGCTGAAAATCATATCATCTGAAGTGAACATATCACCAGATGTATCCAACATTCTGTCTCGAAAAATTGAGGTTGTTGTTTGACCAAATGTACTATCTGGTTCCACTTTTCCTAATCTCATAGTTTCCAGGTTATCTGCATTAGTCGAATTGAGTTGTTTGATTAGAATTTCAGACTTCTGAATTACTCGCAATCCACGGGTTTCACAGAAATCTTGAGACTAGAATCACAGTAAGAAGCAGCATTTAATAATACGACTAAGTTCAGGAAATATAACTTGACTGCAAAAAGAAATTTTTAAGTGGTGGATAAGTAGCTAAGCTATTCAATAAGCAACGAGAACTTTCGTTATAAACACGCTATTTTATCCTTCGCTAACTTCAACTCAAATGTTTGCATATCCTCCAATTTCAGAATGTACATTATATTCGGGAAAAAAACTCAGGTGATACAAAGTTATAACAGATAACTAGTTGAATGGGAGTTACTTAACAAAATACATGAATATTGTTTGCATAGATAATTCTGCCCCTATATGTGAAATCGTTTTTATACTAATGCAGGTCAGTATAATTAACTATTCTATAAGTACAAGTTTTCAATCCAGAGCAAAGCAAAGATGACCGACCTACTTCTAGTGATTACAGAACAATTAACATTCGGAATAGATAGACTGCAGAAACATCAACATTTTGTGTGTAGAGAAGGAAGTGCTATTTTGATACACGTAGGAATAATAAGTCCATAAAAACATCACCGATTTGAAGTCTTGGGTTGTAGACGGTAACTAATGTCATGATGCTTATTCCTCAATTTTTACCGAAGTTGATTGGTCGAGGCATTTACAAGTTAGAATGACCCATTGTTATTATGCATCGTGTTTAGTACAAAATGGATGATGGAACTAGGCAGGAAATATTGACCTAGGTATCGTGGTTCCTGGTATATAAAAACGAAAGTCCATAAGCAATCATGAGGAAATTCATGCTCACTTTGAGCAATGAAACTTGCATTCAGATCATCGAACACTATCTGTTCGAGTCTCCATAGAAGCATTAATTTCTATAAGCTTAGAGGTCTACTTTGTCTACAAAAGCTGATTAAGCTTAAGCTACTGACTCTCCTCAATTATCTAATACCAAATATGGCATAAACGGTCTACATATAACGCTATAACTCACTCTTACTAAACTAATTACCATCACGTAATGAGATATCAATAGCTGCTAGAAAAGCCACTATGAGGCTAATAACTAAAATCAAACAGTATTCATGTGCACTAGCATAACTATTCAGACAAACAGAACCAACTTGGTGCTACTAGTAGTATTATTAAGTCCTATATTCAAGAAATAAGTATATTGATCTGACGTCAATATATATATTCACCGCTTTTATAGATAAACATACTGAACAGGTTCGACATTTGGTATTTTGAGAAACACTTTTATTTCTAGTAGATGGTCTGTACAATAGAGATTTATGCATTAAGTCCTTGAAAGCAGTCACCAATACAGGTTGCAAAATGCATAGCTGGAAGACTAATATGATATATTTACCATCCATCCGCAGTAGGGAAAAACATGATTTGTAGTTCATAATTAAAGTGTGCGTTCGCATCTAACAAAAGCTATTCGCTGAAAACAAACCATTATACTACAAAATTATACGAAGCATTCACAAGGATGACAAGAAAACCTACAAATGTGAAACTCACGAAATAAAAATCATTGATTCGAGATAATACAGCTTAGAAAAAAATAAAAATAACAGTTTTCACATAAATTTACATAAGCACTTGTATCAATTCAGACAAAATCTCTTGAACCCTACTATCGCCTCGTCAACAAGTTCACGAGTTACTAGCCGGTCCTAAGCCCGGGTAAAGAGGGAAGGCTGGGCGTAGAGCTAGCAACCCTACCCCGCAAAACAAATCGAATCGCTAAAGAAACTTCAAAGCACAAAGTAAATATAAAAAATAAAATCAAACTTATTCCTCGCTGGAATCGGAGAGACGAAATGACGCCAGTTGGTGAAAGCCTTCGGGAAGCTAGTCGGCCGATGTGTCTTCTCTCGATGAAAGCGAGAGTAAACATGGGGACGTGGAATGTCCGCACCATGTATGTACCTAGCAAGGCTGCCCAGATTGCAAAAGAGATGAGGAGGAATGGCATGGAAGTGCTTGGAATATGCGAAAGCAGATGGAATGGAAGTGGACTCTCCAAACTCTTAACTGGAGAGTCAATAATCTACTCCCATATTCCTATCCAGACGACAACCACGAGCACACTCAGTTTTGGAGTGGCTATCATGATGTCTCCAAGAGCATCGAAGGCCTTCATGCAGTGGGAGCCAGTCTCCTGCAGGATCATGACAGCAAGATTCAACTCAAAAGGAAGGAAGGTCACAATCATACAATGCCAAGCTACACACCTACAAATAATGCAGATCAAGAGAAGAAGGAGGAATTCTACAGACAACTGAAATCAGTACTGTACAAGACTCCAGTTGGCGATATCAAAATTCTAATGGGTGACATGTTTTAATGCCAAACTCGGAGCGGACAACACAGGTAGAGAACCAATCATGGGTCGATAGGCACTCGGTGAAATGAACGAGAATGGAGAACTGTTTGCAGAATTCTGTGCATTCAACGATTTGGTGATTGGAGGCAGTGTGTACAAACACAGATATTCACAAAGCGAGCGACATGGACTTCACCAAACACCAGGACACACTACACTAAAAACCAGATTGACTTCATTTCAATCTCAAGAAAGGGGAGATGCAGCCTACTGGACACAAGATCAAGAAGGGGAGCAGATGTAGGTTCAGACCACTCACTTTCTGGTGCAAGGAACCTTCAAAATCAAGTTGAAAGCCTTCAAACAAGTTGGTGATAGACCACAGTTCAAGTTCAACACCCGGAACAGGAACTAAAGGACAAAACTACAAAGGACATCTTCACGTCGGTCATTAGGACAAAATGGGAGATATTGAGCAACATCCCTGAAGAAACCTGCGTGGAAGGACACTGGAACTCTTTGAAAGAGATGTAGAAAGAAACCTGCATAACCGTACTAGGAAGGAAGAGGAAAAAAGACAAGTAATGGATCTCGACGAACACGTGGAAGCTGATAGAGGAGGCAGAGGAAGATGGTGAAGTAGAAGATGAACCAGTACAGGGATAAACAACGTAAAGAGGAACTGAGTACAACCTATAAAACACTACACTGAACAAAGAAATAAAGAAGAGTGAGCGGAAAGACAAAAGATACTTCCACGACTGAAGCATAACAGGCTGCTGGTAGGAGAGACCTGACAACATTGTATCAAATAACCAGGTTACTATCGATCTGGGAAGAGATCAACACAAATGAAGCCAATGGAAGATAGTGGAGGAAACTTAGTTACCAAAGAGGAGAAACAAAGAAAACGATGGGCCGACCACTTCAAAAAGCTCTTGAGTCGACCACCGCCTACAACTCGTCCAGAAATACCACCAGCAACGGTAGAACTACCAGTGAACACAAGCCCTCCGACAAAAGCAGAAGTCCTGAATGCATTAAAACTGCCGAAATTCGGGGAAGTAGCAGGACCAGATGGAATTCCTCCAGAAGCACTGAAAACAGACGCAGAGACATCTGCAGACATGCTCACACCACTACTGCAGAAGGTTTGGAAGAAAGGAAGGAAAGGTACCTTCCGATTGTGAAACTCCCAAAGAAGGGAGATCCAAGCCTTTGCAAGAACTGGCGAGACATCATGCTGCTGTCCACCCCAAGCGAAACATTAAGCCGTATCATCCTGGAGAGACTTAAGGATGCGCTGGATTCAAAATGACGACCGGAACAGGCTGGCTGGCTTCAGGAAAAACAAATCATGTGCAGATCAAATTGTAAGACTATGCTACGCATCATTACTGAACAGAGTATAGAATGGCAGTCAACTCTCTACCCTACCTCAACTTCATCGACTTTGAGAAGGCCTTCGACAGCGTCGACCGAGAAGTAATTTGGCAGCCGCTCCAACACTATGGTTTTAGTGCCACAAACCTTTGTCAACCTCACTCAACAGCAACCAAATGCTATATGATGCTGCATACCAAGTGATCCACAATGGAAAGCTCAGTGATACCTTTGAAGTGAAGACAGGAAGGAGTAAGACAAGGCTGCCGCCTACTATCACCCATGATCTTCCTGATTGTGGTAGACTGGATCATGCAGCAAACTGTGAGGAGTGAGAAGATGAGCATATGCTGTTTGACCAATGAAAACAGCCCAGAAGATTTGGATTTCTCCGATGATGATTTATGTATAATGCCTTATGCGCACAAACTCGAAGATCTACCGGCGAAAACTAACAAGTTGACAGAAGAGGCAGTCAAAACGGGACTTCAAGTGAATGTAGAAAAGACAGAGGTGATGAAGATGCCCAGCCAACAACAGCATCAACAACAAGCACCAATCACCACTAACGGGAGAAACCTAAAGGAAGTAGTCTCTTTCACCTACCTACCTGCCTAGGCAGCATCGTTTTAACTACAGGCGGTGGCACAGATGAGGATCAGAAAGACAGACGTTCATCAACCTGAAACCAGTGTGGAGACCTATTGCACTGCACTCAGCATCGAGAGCAAGATCAGGATTTTCAACACTGATTCAGTCAAGTCAGTGCTTCCATGTGATGGTTGAGAGACTTGGTGCGTTACGAAAAGCATTCCCAACAAACTACAGACATTCATCAACAGCTGCCTACACTCGATACTGAAGACCAGATGGCCAGAAAGAATAAGCAACAAGAAACTCTGGCTGGTAATGAGCCAACCAAGAACCTATCACCCAACAAATATGCAGAAGAAGGTGGAGATGGATTGGGCATACACTGAGAAGACCGTTTGGGGACATCACGTTCCAGACACTCGAGTGGAACCGAGATGGTAAATGGCGAGTTGGGCGTCTGAGGCGAGGGTGACATGGAGGAGATCATGTGAGGAAGAAATGAGAGCTTCTGGGCTTTCGTGTAGCCAGGTTTAAAAGATTGCAGAGAATAGAGTGGAATGGAGACGTGCTACTGAAGCCCCACTAGGAAGCCAAGGAACAAATTATGATAAGAATACTTGAGTCCTGAAAAGGGAATCACTACGGTGTACGCATACACAGGTGACTTAACTAAACATGGGTTGAACCACTTCGTCTAAAGTTTAAATAAGACGAAAATAACTTCGTCTGTCTTTGTCCTAGACCCAAAGTTCATGCTGAGGGTTAGCATGAGTTGCTAGAAGTGCGATATTTATAGTGGACTAGATTTTTGACAATAGCTTCAGATAACGTCAAGCTGTTTCTCGCATTATTGTTATGAAGAAGTAAAACAAATATACTGTTTACCCTACGATTGTTTACACACGAGTTTATTTAGCAGAATCTGCACAAAACTGCATCGAATCCAATCAGACTTTACGAATTAATCCATTTGGCAATGCATCCCCGTAATTTCACTACGATGTATTTACCTAAAGTATGCACAAATACACTCCATAGTCGCAACACAGCATGAGAGGAAAATTTATATTAAAGGCTAAATAGCTTAGGATTCAGTAGTTTTTCGTGTTAAACGCACCTGGGTCACTCCTCTGAAAATACCTGTAGCAGTTCCACATTCTGTACAAATCAGCTGTCCAGTATTTTCATCTTCAACAAGATGGGGGTTTTCACAAGTCGGACAACTCATCACTTCTGGAAAAAATAAAAAGCAGTTCATCTTAGTCTTTCGTAATTCAATAGATAGTATACGCTAATGTATGGAAAATCAATAATCCGACGGCGCGTATTCTCATTTTATTATTTAGTTACTATTCAAACCCTATCTGTTTTAGGTGTTGTACCTTATCTACCTCAATACGTAATAAGTTTTGTTTCTTGACTAATAAACAGACATCAATAAGTAACAAACAAGAAAGAAAAACAGATAAAATGAACAACCAATGAACTCATCAGTGTAAATCCAATTTCTTTCAGTCTAATTTAGTGTGTATTATGAATGGCACGAACAAGTCACTTAACCTTTTGGTATCATAAGATACCTTATTGCTCAAATATATTGGACTTTACACACAATAATTACTTGTCTTCTTATAAAAGTGCCTAAGTGGTAAACAGAAGGCAAAAAAGAATGAGAAAATGCAGAATTCAGTATGACTATTAAGATGGAAATAATGTGTGGATACAACTACGTCACTGACACGGATTCTGAGACATGTCACCTAGAATCTCGACAAACACGCTGACCCTAACCAGAAAGTCGACATCTTACTAATCGACTCAGACCAACAGTCAAGATTTCATGCAATGACGCTTTGTTTTAGTCTGGCCACCTCCAACCATTTTCCAGCCTTAACCTACTTCAGCTAACATTATGTGATGAGACAGATGGTGACTAGGCATACACAACACATGTTCCAGCCAACTCAGTCAACAGAGGTTGGCAGTCGCATCAACTGATTTCCCTCTCCTCCCTGAAACTATCCCCGACTCATAAATTACTGACGCGGTGGCACAACCATACACGGCCTATCCTACAAAATCAACGGTGGTTGAACATTTGAAGCTTTTCCATATTCTCTATCTTTAATGACCATATTTCACAACCACATAGTACGACAGAACAAACTGCAGCGCCATACATAACCTTTAATAGACAACCGGATATAATAGAGGCGACATAGATAGCGTAAGTTGGCGAAAGTCAACTGAGTGTTCCGTATTCGCAAAGAGATTTTGTTAGCTTCAAACTTACCAGGACTTATTCGACTTCATAGCTATTTCAGTTTTACAAGCTTTAACTGTTTCCAGGTCAGTTAAACGTCACCTGCCAATAGACCAGCTTCCAATAAGGCGCACATACATGAAAACAGTGCACATGAAGAGTTATCAGACAAACAAAATCAACACAGAAACTCGAACAAAATTCCATCAGTTCAAACCAGAAGGCTTCACAGAAATACATAAAGAATAAGTAGACAGAAAAAGTGATATCGAAGTAGAAAACGTTGGGCGACAACAGTAAATTCGAAGATAACAGTCAGCGAGATGACTAAACCTTCACAAGATGTCACAGAGTAAATACATCGGAGCCACTGTGACTGACAGTAATCATCCACTACCTACCCGGGGTCCCCAAGACGATATAAATTAGTCGACACCCCCTTCCACAGCTTATATCAGCAATTAGCAGCCACCGAGACGCATGCCAAACATAATCAGATATCTCCTTAACACAACCAGAAGACATTCCACTTTGTCAACCTCCTCACCGAAAATCACAACTACTTTTTCTCGTATTTTTCCACTGGCTTACTGCTGCAACATAGGATTTCAGTAGCACGTCTCCATTCCACTCTATTCTCTGCAATCTTTTAAACCTGGCTACACGAAAGCCCAGAAGCTCTCATTTCTTCCTCACATGATCTCCTCCATGTCACCCTCGCCTCAGACGCCCAACTCGCCATTTACCATCTCGGTTCCACTCGAGTGTCTGGAACGTGATGTCCCCAAACGGTCTTCTCAGTGTATGCCCAATCCATCTCCACCTTCTTCTGCATATTTGTTGGGTGATAGGTTCTTGGTTGGCTCATTACCAGCCAGAGTTTCTTGTTGCTTATTCTTTCTGGCCATCTGGTCTTCAGTATCGAGTGTAGGCAGCTGTTGATGAATGTCTGTAGTTTGTTGGGAATGCTTTTCGTAACGCACCAAGTCTCTCAACCATCACATGGAAGCACTGACTTGACTGAATCAGTGTTGAAAATCCTGATCTTGCTCTCGATGCTGAGTGCAGTGCAATAGGTCTCCACACTGGTTTCAGGTTGATGAACGTCTGTCTTTCTGATCCTCATCTGTGCCACCGCCTGTAGTTAAAACGATGCTGCCTAGGCAGGTAGGTAGGTGAAAGAGACTACTTCCTTTAGGTTTCTCCCGTTAGTGGTGATTGGTGCTTGTTGTTGATGCTGTTGTTGGCTGGTCATCATCATCATCATTATCAACATAGGACCAGGCATTACTGCGTAACGGTCCGAGTTGCCACACCTCATATCAGCACATCAAGTAAAAAGGTAGTGAGGTGAAGGATGAAGATAAGTGAATGCAGTCAAAAGAAATATAAAGTATGAGAAGAAAGGGAAGAGGAGTGACAAAATAGTGAGATTCGGTATAGCGTTGTTAAGATGAGGATAATGTGTGTATACATCTGCGCCACTGACTTCGGTTCTGAGCCATATCACCTAGGGTCTCCAACCACTGGTTCCTCTTGTCCCGTGGACTGTTGTTGGCTGGGCATCTTCATCACCTCTGTCTTTTCTACATTCACTTGAAGTCCCGTTTTGACTGCCTCTTCTGTCAACTTGTTAGTTTTCGCCGGTAGATCTTCGAGTTTGTGCGCATAAGGCATTATACATAAATCATCATCGGAGAAATCCAAATCTTCTGGGCTGTTTTCATTGGTCAAACAGCATATGCTCATCTTCTCACTCCTCACAGTTTGCTGCATGATCCAGTCTACCACAATCAGGAAGATCATGGGTGATAGTAGGCGGCAGCCTTGTCTTACTCCTTCCTGTCTTCACTTCAAAGGTATCACTGAGCTTTCCATTGTGGATCACTTGGTATGCAGCATCATATAGCATTTGGTTGCTGTTGAGTGAGGTTGACAAAGGTTTGTGGCACTAAAACCATAGTGTTGGAGCGGCTGCCAAATTACTTCTCGGTCGACGCTGTCGAAGGCCTTCTCAAAGTCGATGAAGTTGAGGTAGGGTAGAGAGTTGACTGCCATTCTATACTCTGTTCAGTAATGATGCGTAGCATAGTCTTACAATTTGATCTGCACATGATTTGTTTTTCCTGAAGCCAGCCAGCCTGTTCCGGTCGTCATTTTGAATCCAGCGCATCCTTAAGTCTCTCCAGGATGATACGGCTTAATGTTTCGCTTGGGGTGGACAGCAGCATGATGTCTCGCCAGTTCTTGCAAAGGCTTGGATCTCCCTTCTTTGGGAGTTTCACAATCGGAAGGTACCTTTCCTTCCTTTCTTCCAAACCTTCTGCAGTAGTGGTGTGAGCATGTCTGCAGATGTCTCTGCGTCTGTTTTCAGTGCTTCTGGAGGAATTCCATCTGGTCCTGCTACTTCCCCGAATTTCGGCAGTTTTAATGCATTCAGGACTTCTGCTTTTGTCGGAGGGCTTGTGTTCACTGGTAGTTCTACCGTTGCTGGTGGTATTTCTGGACGAGTTGTAGGCGGTGGTCGACTCAAGAGCTTTTTGAAGTGGTCGGCCCATCGTTTTCTTTGTTTCTCCTCTTTGGTAACTAAGTTTCCTCCACTATCTTCCATTGGCTTCATTTGTGTTGATCTCTTCCCAGATCGATAGTAACCTGGTTATTTGATACAATGTTGTCAGGTCTCTCCTACCAGCAGCCTGTTATGCTTCAGTCGTGGAAGTATCTTTTGTCTTTCCGCTCACTCTTCTTTATTTCTTTGTTCAGTGTAGTGTTTTATAGGTTGTACTCAGTTCCTCTTTACGTTGTTTATCCCTTTACTGGTTCATCTTCTACTTCACCATCTTCCTCTGCCTCCTCTATCAGCTTCCACGTGTTCGTCGAGATCCATTACTTGTCTTTTTTCCTCTTCCTTCCTAGTACGGTTATGCAGGTTTCTTTCTACATCTCTTTCAAAGAGTTCCAGTGTCCTTCCACGCAGGTTTCTTCAGGGATGTTGCTCAATATCTCCCATTTTGTCCTAATGACCGACGTGAAGATGTCCTTTGTAGTTTTGTCCTTTAGTTCCTGTTCCGGGTGTTGAACTTGAACTGTGGTCTATCACCAACTTGTTTGAAGGCTTTCAACTTGATTTTGAAGGTTCCTTGCACCAGAAAGTGAGTGGTCTGAACCTACATCTGCTCCCCTTCTTGATCTTGTGTCCAGTAGGCTGCATCTCCCCTTTCTTGAGATTGAAATGAAGTCAATCTGGTTTTTAGTGTAGTGTGTCCTGGTGTTTGGTGAAGTCCATGTCGCTCGCTTTGTGAATATCTGTGTTTGTACACACTGCCTCCAATCACCAAATCGTTGAATGCACAGAATTCTGCAAACAGTTCTCCATTCTCGTTCATTTCACCGAGTGCCTATCGACCCATGATTGGTTCTCTACCTGTGTTGTCCGCTCCGAGTTTGGCATTAAAACATGTCACCCATTAGAATTTTGATATCGCCAACTGGAGTCTTGTACAGTACTGATTTCAGTTGTCTGTAGAATTCCTCCTTCTTCTCTTGATCTGCATTATTTGTAGGTGTGTAGCTTGGCATTGTATGATTGTGACCTTCCTTCCTTTTGAGTTGAATCTTGCTGTCATGATCCTGCAGGAGACTGGCTCCCACTGCATGAAGGCCTTCGATGCTCTTGGAGACATCATGATAGCCACTCCAAAACTGAGTGTGCTCGTGGTTTTCGTCTGGGTGACCGGAGTAGATTAATACACACTAACAATCAAGTATTATATAATTTACTAGAATCTCAGACACTATGTTCGTCAGGCTGATTCTTCTGTGGTTATCACAAGAGGACTTGTTGCCTTTCTTGAAGACTGGGATTATCAGTGACTTAGACCAGTGAGAGGGGATCGTATTTGATTCCCATATACTAGCTAACACTTCCGTTAACCTGACTAAGAGCACTCTACCACCATTCTTGTATACCTCAGCAGGTAATCTGTGTGGTCCTGCTGCCCTTCCTCGTTCCAGGTTACCTACCGCTTTTTCAACTTCTTCTGGTGGTGGGGGGCCTGTCTCTATGTCCCATTCAGGATCCGACTGGATAGCGGGCAACACGATCGTGGCTGGAGGCCAGTTAAACTGTTTCTCGAAGTGTTCTACCCATCGTTCCAGTCGTCTCCCCTGCGAGTGAATCGCAGATCCGTCCTTCTCCGCTAGCCTCACTGTTGTTGACCTTTTCCCTCCAGTCTCCTTAATAAGTCTAAATAACTGTTTACTGTTACCGATCGCCACTGCCTTTTCCATCTCTTTAGCCTTCGCTGCCCACCACTGTTCGTGGTCGTTGCGCAGACTTTTTCTCAGTCTACTTTTAAGCTGTGCCCGCTCTTCATTGTGCTCAGAGCCTGCAGGGAGGCGTTCACGTGCATCCATTAGTTGGGAAGAAGCTGCTGATATCCACTGGCTCTTTTTAGCCACTATTTTGGAGTCGGCTACGGTCTTCAACGCTGCTTTTACAGCAGACTGGAGATGGCACCAAGCTTCCTCTGGATGAGTGACAGTCTTTTGTTCCGATAACTGCCTAGCCAACTTCTCACTGAACACAGCTTTGGTGTTTCCGTTTTCCAGCAGCACTCGTAGTGGTTTTGTTGCCAAATTTTTTTTACGTCCATTGAGACACAGGCATATACGTGCTCGGACCAACGCATGATCGCTGTCCAAACACGTACTCCAGAAGGAGCGGCAGTCTTCCACCGATCCTCTCCAGCGATGACTAATAGCAATGTGGTCTATCTGTATCCATCTCTGAGTTGAGCTCGGTGGACGCCAGGTCAGACAGTGACTTTCTTTATGTCTGAAGTTGGTGCTGGCCAAAAATAGGCGGTTATCTGATCATAGTTGTAATAGGCGATCACCGTTATCTGTACGTTTAGCTGAGATCCCGAAAGTGCCACCTAAGTGCCTTTCTGCCTCACTCAGTCTACCCATCTGTGCGTTGAGGTCACCTGCAACAACCACCACGTCCGAACATTTGGCTTTCGAGAGGAGGTTAGACAGTTTACGGTAGAACTCGTCCTTTACTTCATCCGAGCTGCAGTCAGTGGGTGCGTAAGCAGAGATTACAAAGAGAAAAGAGTTCTGTAGACGACCAGGTTTTGGTATGTCAAAGCGCAGTAATGCCTTTCATTACTATATATCAGTAAAAGAATGCAGGGTTCATTAAGATTTAGTTTTTAAGGTTAAGAAATGAATAGTCTCCTAACAGCTTTACAGCTACTGTCAGAAATTGTTCAGAAAATAAAGCTAAGCATCCGTGTCACGAATTCGGACCATTAGTGTAAATGCATGACTTGAAAATCAAGTTATTAAGCATGAAGAAGAAAAACAGCAATTGCACCTTTCACATCATCAGCACTGGAAATAGAGCATAAACTGTGTTTGTTTGATGCTTTATGGCTTGGTGAATACTGGTAACCTCCTTGGAATTAATTGACAGGGTTTACGGAGTCAGAATTAAGGTTATGACTAAGTGTTAGGGTGCGAGACTGAGTACTGAAACGAAAGCCCATGTGAACTACAGGTCTATGATTTCTTCCATTTCGGGAAATACGGGCACATTGAAAGCCTCGTGAAATTAGGACACACCATGAGACGGCCGTTTGCGAAATATCCCCCTTCAAATTTACTGTGTTGTATCACTGAGTGGGCCACTTAAGAACGGTCAAATATTTAAGTTCTCTTTTGAACGCCATATTGGTAAGTAAGTTACTAGGTTTCTGTCTTCCTTTCCAAGCCTGAGTAGATTTCCAGTGCAGAGTGGTAACGTCAGTCTGATAGCAATCAAGAAACTATAGACCACTAAAGGAGAGCGCTACATTTTTTCTGTAGTTGAAGTTTTCTGCAGTGCTTTAGGAATATCTGAAGCTACTTTTAAGACTTTCTACAATGCTTTAAACTACCTAACCAGCATTTAGTTTGGAAGTTTTGCGCAGAACCCAGAAAAAAGTCATCAGAGGACAACTTGAGATGCAAAACAGCTTCCCCGAGAAGTCCCAATTTTTCTCTCGAAATAGTCGAGAACGTCGGGACTGTTTAAAGCCCGTATTCCATCACAGTATCAGCAGGACGCCTAAAGTTTGCGAAAAATCACTTTGCCTTCATTTATAAAAGTATATATTGAAGTACTCCGCGGGGTAGTATTCCTTCCTTGAAATGGAATGCGTTGGTTTACCTGAAAAGCCTTACAATGTAATTTCCAGCAGAAAATAACGGAAGACCCTGGAGAATTCCTCGAAATTTTTACGTGCATGCGAACTATAGGACGATGCCAAACGTTTTCGTAATGCGCCCAAACTCCAAACAGTAAGATGTCTTGGGATCGAGTAGATCGATACTACTAAAATTTCTAAGCAGGTTAACTACGACAATACCGGAAATAGTGAGTAGTGCGGGGTACCTCAGAGGACGTAGCAGAAGGAAGAAAAGGCAAACGATGAATGTATTTACTGAAGACTACTGCTTCTCGCGTCAAGTAATCAACTACTGGAACCAACTACCAGAAGTGGTGTTCACACCGTAAACTGACTGATTCAAAATACAAATAAAGAAGCACTGAGATTGGCTGTGATAGGATTAATATAAACTCACAGCCTTCTATCCTCAAACGACAAATCTAAATCTGAAACCAGAAAAACATTTCGGTGCACTTTTGAGGTACAGTGTTTGCAAATAGTAAATAGTTCTATAATATTAACAATTAATAAAATCTTACACCACTAACAAGTGAATATATAGGTAGAAGTCGCAGTTACGCCAAATAAGTGATGTACGAAAAAGCAAAAATGCACAGTAACGCTGAGTTTAAAACTGAGACTTTCTACCTTCAATATTAAACACCAAATGGTCCAAATGCTTGTCGACGGAATAGAAGCTTTCGCCTAACTGGCTTCCACATCTAAAGTCCGTGAATCACTACTCTTTGTGGTTTTTAACCTGTGTACAGGTAAAGAAAGGTGAAAAAGTGATGGTTAAAATGTTAAAATTAAATTAGTTTTGGGTACATAAAAGCCAGTTGGCATTTAAAGAATTTAGACGAAGTAGCCCGGATCATACCTGAGGGGAGCATACCAGGGGTTAATCTGTTATGTTCCAGGGTTAGTTTCTGTGAATGTCCTCTGAGATTAGTGCTACAGGTATGATTTAATAAGTGACGGAGTGGGTGGTTAGGCGTGCTAAGAATGTTATGAGTCATTATCAAGTCACCTCTTAGCTTTCCGTATTCCAGAGGATACAGATCCGGAGCAACCACCCGTTTTCGCTTACGATCGAACTGTCCAAAAATTCATCTAAGAGTAACTAACACCAAGTTTCCTTGAAATGCGTTTCTGTCACAGTTGGCACAGGATTCTAAGTCCTGCGAGACTAACATTCCTAAATCATTCTCTGTCGGCGATGCTTCAAACTCCATGCCGTTGAGTCTTTATACATGAGATGCATCGTGTTTTGAGTGTATCACCTCGCACTTCTCAGGATCAAATGCAAGCCCGTTGCTGACTGCCGAGTTTTGAAGTTCACTTAAGTCTTCCTGTGGAGAAACATTGTCTTCCTCACTTTTGATTTCCCTCTAGAGCTTCACGTCATCGGCAAAAAGAGGGATTTTGGAGGAGACCTGTTGAGGCAAGTTGTGTATGTTTTTTATGAAAAGGGGAGGCCCCAGTACTGAACCTGTGGGGACTTCACCAGGACATTCTGTTTCTTTAGACACAGAGAAAACTCACTCGAACTCCAAATATGCCTTAGTCACGCCTGCTCGTAATGTCGTCTAGATAGTCAAGATAGCTGGCAGAGCATGACCGGCCTTTCAAGAATCCATGTTGTGCTGGTGAGAGTATTTGGTTTGTCGTCATGTAGTTGACAACTGCTTTCGCAGTGGGAGTGTATTAAGCAGTACAGAGGTCGCTGAGCTTTTGAGCTCACACTTCCAAACCCAACTTAGTACCGACACTGAATCCACACTGACTGGTTACGACACTGACCAGGTCATAAATAATGAATACCTCTGCCACATCTCAGTCGCAGGGAAAGGTGTTAGAGGAACTATCTAGGCTGCGTCCAGTCAAACCCCCCGGCTGCAATAACCTAGACCGATGATCCTAAAAAACTGCGCCGAAGTGCTTGGAAAACCAATCTGCATCCTCTTCAAGCACTCAATAAAGTCGTGCAAACTCTCTACAGGATCGAAGTGTGCCATCTTGTCACCCATCTTCAAGGGGGCAGACAGAAAAAGCCCTCGGCAGCTACAGGACCATTGCTCTACTCCCTGTAGTGTCGAAAGTGTCGGAAAGCCTCGTAGCTGACCCTATCTGGGAATTCCTCAATAACGAAAACACCATGCGTACTGCTCAGCATGGATTTCGGAATGGTCGCTCGTGTGCCACTAACTTACTAACTGCCTGGGACGACTGGACACTATGCTGGGATAACAGAGACCCGGTACACGCTGTTTTTCTCGATCCAGCCAAAGCATTTAATAGTGTCCCACTCACAGTTCTGCTTCACAAGATTATGACACCTGGTATAAGTGAAGCCCTACTCTGTCGGTTCTAGGAGTACCTAGAAGGGAGGCAGTTCTGCACCAAAGTAAACAGACAAACCACGTAAACAAATCAATTTGCCTGCAACACAATGGTCTTCACGAGGAAACTCCATTAAGTCAGAACATCAGACAGCCAACGCCATACTCAGGTCCAATTTTTCCCCCTGAGAGTATGCGCCTTATGAAATGCCTAACCACGACATATCATTATAGCTCCCTCAGTCGACTCATCTAAGGGGCGTTCGAGCAGTTATGCCATGTGGCATGGTCTACTACGGACGTACTCAGAAAGCCACCAACTTCACTAGCCCACCCTCACCTCCCTCCTACCTACCACTCACTTTCTCACTCCTTAATACACCCACATTACCAACTAATTCTTCTGCAGGAACTAAATCCACGCTATCTATTTTCGCCATTTGGGTAATTCCCACATACTTTTCTCTCTTTTTTATTTCTCTTCTTCACTCCCTCCTTTTCTTCTTTTTCTTTACTCTTTCCATTTTTTACCAGTGACCTACTATTCTCTTCCAGGTACCCAAGCAAATAGAGGTCACGACGGTCCCCCAACCGTCCCAGCAACCCGTGGCTCCCCAGTTACCCTACAAATTACAACTTTCTAACCCACGGAACATCCACCTCACCAGGGCTAGAAGAGGGGGGTTTCCTAGCCGCAGGAGTGAGCCGAGCAACTCGAACCAAGCCCTTAGAACTGGACGCGCAAGAGCAAAACTATCAGTTTTACTACGCTCGCACCATCAATATTGAACACTGATTACGTTTTGCAGCTATTCTCAGCTTATCGTCACGTTGTTTTTCGCTGCAGTTTTACGCTCCTGTTCACCACCAATGTTCACATGGTACAGAATTTCACATCTCTGAACTTTTGAATCGTTCTTTTGATCTGAGCAAGCTGCTATACAGGCATTTACGACTGGCCACTGGCACGAATCTTCCCCGTGCTACTTACCATAGCCAACTGGTGGCAGTTCTCTGACCTCATCCGAACAAAAAGAAGTACCGTTAAACTATGAGTCGAAACTCAGGTAAACGCGCCTTTAAAAGACCCAGAGAAATCCACTGTAATGAAAAACCACTCTTAACATGCTTTCGTTATTGAATGAAACTAATGTGGGTCTTAGCAATAATCACATCGATACGAAGTTAGGCGCAGCACCGGTGTTGAAACTGACAAATCTTTTGACGAGTAGCCCGATGATTGGCCCAACAACTGAGGACTATCTATACCTTAAGACAACCGCAGAGAGAGCACTAGTGCACAGATGAAAGCTGTGATAGATCTTCCAGGTGTTGTACGGGCGGCTGAATCTAAATTGGTAATTCTTAATAAGGAACTCTCAACTGTCTCCAAACTTAGAGAAACAATCCAAGACCCAAAGCTGTAAGTGCACCAACTCCGCTCCAAGACCCTCTTAGTTGATGCACTTCCAGACAATATGGCGGATGTAGTACGAGATATGCAGGTCATTGCACCTTTGAAGTCGGTGACCACCAAATTTAACACAGTCCTAGCAGGTACTGGAAGCAGAGGTTGAGGACGTAACCAATTACATCTCCCCTGAAGTCGTAGCAGCTGGCCGGGGGTCAACCGTATACAACGTCCCAGATAAAATGCCTATAAATACCATAAAGAAAGCACTTCATAACGCCGCTAACTAAAACTGATAACGATGGTTGTGTTCAAAATCGTACCGTGTTGCACATGTTACGTTTTGGACTAGAGCAGATTCTAAGACTGTCAAGAGTAAGCCATTTTCAAAGGAACTGCCGGATATTGAGACTGTTAGCTCCGTCGGGTGTGTGTGGAGCATTCAGATCCCCAACTGTTAGGCATTTGTTACTCCCACTCCAGTTACGTATATGGGTTAGCACGAAGTCATTTGCAAGGCAGGATGGACTACGGTAAATGCCCCTGATAGTACAGAAACCTTGCTTTGACTTCAGCTCGCAACTGGTCACTTCACGGGCCCCACATTCGTATGCTTCGGAAGTGACTGATCGTACGTGGACGTCATCCCGAAAATACAGTAGAATGCCGCCACCTTTGCGACCCACAACCTTATCCGTCCTTACGCAGTAATACCCTGTAGGGAGTGGCGTGAAATCTAAATCCTTTATTAACCAGGTTTCAGTAAGGGCTACTATGTCAAGACCTAGTTCGCAGATTAGAGTCTCGGGACCTGTCATTTTACTTCTAATACTGCGAGCATTAGTGTAGATTACTTTCGTCGTGTTGGAAGAATTCCATGAGCCACCCATGTAGGCCTTGGAAGCATTCGCTTCCAAGACCTCACAACCCGAAAACCCACTATTTTAAGGTCGTTTCCTCCATCAGCTTGTCTAGTCTTAGGTTCGGCAACAGCTTCTCTTTCTTTTTATGCAGTTCCCGAGGGGCCAGTCAGGTCGGATGCGAATATCCGAATTTCGTAGTCTGAATGCGTTACTCAAGAGTACATCCACTTCATCCTTGTTGCCTAAAACAGCCTTTAATATTCCCTTCTCATCAGGTTTTTCGTCCGTTTTCCTACCTAGCCTAACTACTTTGGAGATGTGCACCCCTTTGGACTTTTAAGGTAAAATACGTCTGATGGCCGACTCGACTATTTTCAGGCCATGGCCGTGACGTATTGAAGCATATTTGTCTGATGAGTCCTCAACATACCAGAAGATTAAACTGGGTGTTGGAGTGGAATCCTTGAGTCGTATGTTGACGGCCCTCGAAACCTTCTCAATAGGTTTCATAAGCTTAGTATCCTCCGTGATAACCTTTGGCAGTCTCTTCGGACGCTTTCTTGGAGAAGTCCATGTAGGTTAGTTGACCGCTTTTATGGAGTCAATACTGCCACCAGAAATGCAGCCTTTTGGTGAATCCTCAGGCATTATAGCTGGTGTACCACTTGCTCTCGGTTTTCTCTTGCGTCGAGCACTCTTTGGAACTGGTGTGATTTCACCAATGAGATCACCAGCATCCAGTAGTTCTCTGGGAGTTCCTGTATCAGATATATTAACGATGATACCTGCAACGTCATCATCTGATACCGCATTAGAATGACAGCTATCATTTCTGCATAGCTGATTTTTGAAAGGTAAATTCTCAGCAGCTTTTTGGATGAGAGTTGGCAATGGCTTGCAGCAGAAATCACACAACCAGGGAGAAGCTGGTTTACTGCAACGCTTGGTGGCAATCCTGTACAAACTTTGTGGAACCAACATCCACATGCATCACATTGCATACCTTCATCCACCGGAAAT